TCAATTTTTCAAAATTATTTATTGGAAATATTTTTACCAGTGTAAGGGTATGCATGATTTAATTCATGGATGTTAGTTTTTTTTCAGTTAGAAGAATGTTAATAAAATTACTTTCAATGCAATAAATTGAAGGTTCCTCATTTTTGGAAATAATAGATTTAAAGAATTTTTTCTTAAAACATTTTTTATAGAACACATAATTATTAATAAAAAAAGTTTTGTACACTTTTATCATAAGTAGAATAGTTTTTAGGATACATGGAAAAACTCTGGAAAAAAACTGAAAATCCTTTTGGAACACGTCGAGTTGATCAATCGTCGCCAAGTTTTACACGCATTATGTTTATAAGTGTAATAATAAATTTGGGAAGTCTCTCCTAAAATATTTTTAAAAAATAATTTTACTTATACAGTGAAACACTATAAAAACAACAATTTATTCTGGACACTGTACAAACAGATTGGCGAACAACATTCTTATTGATGCCCTTCGAGATTATAAATAATTTGCCTAATTTTGTCCCCATGTTTTGTGAAATTTACCGATTTTATTACAAACTATTAATTATTATAAACACACCATACCGTTTATATTTAATTATAAACATTGTATTAACACTACCGGATTGAACACAGGGAAAAAAGGGTGAAAAATTATAAAGCGGATTACTTATGGACGATAGGTAGGTATTACACTTACACCCAAACTGTTTTGAATATTATAAAAAATCATCAACTAGGTATTGGCCATATACTGGCCAGTGGTATAATAGACAACTGCTATGTTATGATCATATAAGATGCAACTTCTAACAAATTATTCAAATCAGACAAAATATTTGTTACGTATTAAACACATAAATACATATATATATATATATATAACAAGTTTTGAAAACTTTAATTATTTTTAAAATTTATAATATAGGTTTAGAGTGAGTTTGCTATTTGAAAACAAAAAATTAATAGTAGTTTCACCATGTTGCTTAAATATTCTAAAAGAAAAAATTCCATAAAAAGTAAATGTTTTTCGAGATAATGAGTGCCATACATTATGTTGATTACTCTGTATACTATAATACCTAAGTATATGATTTATCGTTGCATACAGATATGAATTAAATAACTTTATATATCCTACCTTCACAAAGTCGCACTAACAACAGTGGCACATCCGTCAGCAGTGGCTTCACTTTTTTTTTTTACCACCTATAATGAACTTAGGAGTATAATGATCCTCGTATAAATTACAACTTTTAATGAACCTCGAGTTAAAGTATCAAACATTTCTGTTAAACCGAACAATTTAATTCATATATAAAATTTAAAAACTCTACAATATTAAATGAATATAGATAGTCTTATAAATAGCTTAAAAATTAGAAGAATATTTCGAAAATTTTACCAAGTTTGTAAAATGTCTTGGAAAATGTTAATAGAAGTGTTAGTAATACAAAAAGGTAATTAATTAATATTTGTGTATCTTATCGCCATCTATCTGAAGAATATTATACTTTTATTTTTACGTTAAACGTTATTCAACGAAAAATATATTATTATATAATTTTCTTAATAATTATTAAATAGAAAAAAAAATATCCATTATAAAAATGAGTTACTTATCAATAAATAATTAAATTAACTTTTGTTCCATAAAAATACAATAATAGATGTATAACTTTGTTTACGATTATGAAAAAAAAAAAATTTTGTTTATAGTAAAAACGATGATGTATTTTTTTTTTTTTTTTTTTTTTGTCCCGTTTTCACCAAAACAATTTGTGTTCACCTCAGTCATGCGTGCTTTGAAAGGTCGTAATACCTACGCATTTACAGTTTAAAGATAAAACATTTCGTAAATTTTTCCGGTTTTTTTTTTTTTTTTACACTTGTTAAGAAAATCCCTGGGAAAACTAAAAATACGACACCTACAAAGTACCTATACGCACCATAGGGAATGATGAAATCACGTACAAAATCAATATGATCACAACACAATCGCGCACAGCGGTCACGTTACAGTTTCGATGCTGAATTCTGAACAAACGATAACCGATAGGTGAAACGGTTGTACAACTGTTATATTTCACGTAATTGTACACGCGTGGATTTTCCATCGTAATTATATGGTATAAACTATGAACCGATATAGGCTTCGGAGAACCGGCAACCGCATTATCGTTACCGATCGAATGTTCACACGGTTAACAGCGTTTTGTCTGGCTTTTGTTGCGTTGCATTTGCGATTTTCAAACGCACAAGGACACGGCAGTCTTTAATAACCCGACAATTTCGTACGATTACATTAAATATTATATCGCAATAATTTTACGCGATTTTAAATTTTCAACGATTTGTCCGCCTTACGAAATTCCGATAACGGGCGCACAGTGCACGCCACCGTTACACGGATATTTAATCTAAATGTGGATCGAATCTAGTTTACGATACCAAGCTAGTTTTTCAATTTTTTTAAATTTTTTTTTCTGTTCAAAATGTGCGTGTTTTTGCCGATACATTATGAATCTAAAAAAAAAAAATCGGACGAACTTCGTTTGGAAGTTATGGGTGAAAACTTAATGAAGTTCGGGTTTTCCGTTTCGCGCATTTCTTAGTGAGAATTTTCAAACATTTTCAAATTCTTTTTTTTTTTTTCAAAACGCTTTAATGCTTTAACGCTTAATCCATTGGTATAATCACACTCTTATTTTTTGAAAATATTGTACATAACCCTTGAAAAACAGCATTTTGGATGCACCTAGAGACCTAACAGGGCCACTAGGGTTTGAACGTTTGTAACTCTAAATCTAAGCCGATAAACTTAATCAGACTTCAAAAAAAAAAAAAACTTTGTTATCATAATAATAATAAAAATGACCACATTTTATATTAATCAAAAATGCCATGTTTAGATTTATGTACAATAACTATAAAAGTAAGTATGATAGGAAATCACACATTTTGAAAAGAAAAAATTCGAAAACGTTTAATTCTCACTAAGAAGTAAGTATGCGTAATGGAAAACCCGAACTTCATGGAGTTTTCCCTCATAACTTCCAAACGAATTTTGTCAATAAACAATAGCAGCACCGGGGTAGCAATTTTAACACAAATCAGTCGGTAACCGAAAAAAATAGGTACCTACGTTATTATAGTTTAACCCGGTCGAGCTGGGATAGATTTTTGCACACAGACAGTACATGAGTTTAAGTTTAAATTAGTTAAGTCGAGTCAATCGGAGCTGTTCACGTCACGGGGTGCAGTAGGGTATTTTCGCCACGCGTGTATCATTTTTAAGCGTAGGAATATTGTTTACTGCTATTGACTATTCTTAATAAACGGTGGCCGCAGTAAGGAAGTATTTTGAAAACAGATCCCTTACTGTTGTCCGTTGAACAAAAATGACAGCTTACGTCGAATGCCTAAATCGATAATTTAATGGTAAAACAATACGTTACGCACGATTTTGGATTTTATTCATTTTGACATTGAATTAATAACACTGGCAATTTCTAAATAAACGAATAACTATTATCGTGTACATTGATATCCGGTCGTGAAAAATCGCGCCGCCATTATGAAGCGGGTACTCACTTGTACCTGCGACGACGACTTCGCGGTAGGTAGGTACCCGTTTGTTCGCTTCGCGGCCGCCAATTGAATTGGCTCCCAATACAATTTTAACCGAACGGTTCTCGAAATGTAAAACGGTTTTACACAAATACCAAAGTGGAATAAGCACGAGACTGTCAATATTTTTTTTAGCGAGACGGCGCCAAATGACCGCCGGGAATTATCTGATCTTTAATTCGACACCGCGTTAAACGGTCGCGGCCATCGTAATTATACAATTTAGCCACCTAAAAACGCAGTGCCCGCAGTCCGCCGCAATTTATCGCCGCACAGTCTTATGGTCGTGTGTAAAACCAATTCGATCGCGAAAATGAGTTCGTCTTGATAGTAAATAATTTTAAATTTATCTGCGGTCGAAAGACCACGGGCCCCGTCGAGGAACGTGCGGAATCCGAAAAACGGACCGTCAATGTTACAGAATTCGAAAACACGATGATCCATGAGAAGTACGAACTGTGTTCGTGTTCAAATGAAACCGATTTGAAATAAATGGAATTTACAATTTAGAAAAATTTTGTATTCCCGAACACACGCTTGTATTGCCCGGTTTACGTTCAGCACACTTCCGTGGCGGCGAGCAGGGAAGTGAACAACGGAAACGGGCAGCGCGAGTGCGTAAACGCGTCGAATCGCGCTGACGCTGCCCGACGGTGCCGTCGAGAGGCGCGGTAAACTGAACGGCGCGGGCAGCGACACAACCGGCAGCGCGACCGAACGGGCGACCGCCGCTCTATTAATTAGCAGGGCGACGTTCGCGCGCGATTGCCGCCGACGCCGTCGCACAGGTATTTCGAGGAGTGAACGCGGCAGCAGCGGCGGCGGCAGACGGCTGAACGCGAACTGGGTACACGGATGATTTCGCGTGCAGCAAGTGTCGGACGTCCGCGGCAACGGTAAAACTGCGGAACGGATGAAACGCGCACTATATTTAGAACGGTAATACCCCCTTGTCTGGGAAACCGCATCTGGCGATTGCCGGCCGCCCGGTCCGTTGTAACGCTGAAACGACCGTCGTTTTTCGACATTATTGCGCGAACCGTGATTGGTCGTCGTGTCGCCACCGTCATCGCTCCGTCGTTTGCGTTTTCGTGATTTTGGCCGTGGATTTTGCTCGTAATAGATATTGTGAAAATGTCGGGAAAAAAACACCTGGTGGTTACGAAAAGCGTAGTGAGAATAGAAAAAAAAAAAAAAGCCGGAACAATAAGAAAAATCGCCCAAACCGCCAAAAATAAGTGGTTTTTTTTTTCTTCTCATATCGTTTCTTATCGAAAGAAAACTGAAGTTATAATTGTTAATAGTAACACTACCCATGTTGACATTCAGCCACGTTTGGAACGTAACACTACACGTGAAACTGCGGATCGCGAAGACTTCACCACTGCAATTTTACCACGTTTTTCCGCTAAAGGTACGATTGAACATAAATCGTTTGATAAGGTTTTTAAAAATATTGTTGAAACTTTTTTCGGTCCAACGGATCTTGGTCGTTTTAAAGAAATCGGGTTAGATGCTAAAACTAAACGTTGGAAAAGTTGGAAATGCACTTAGTGAACCTAAAGCTAAAAGGTCTTTTCTTAAAAATGTAGACGGTGGATCTTTTTCGGAAAAATATTATTTCACAGTATCTAAATCTGGTTTGAAAATCGAACGTTTGTGGCTGTGTTATTCGATTATACTTCAAACGGCATATTGTAGGTCATGTTGGCTATTTGGAGATCGCACATCCACCGACTTTCAAATAATTTGGACTATAGGTTATTGTGATTGGAAACACATAGTAGAAGGTATTAAAAGACACAAACAATCACACGTTCACTACATTTCCTGTTAAGTATATGCATAATGGTTCTTAAATAATATTGTAGATGAAGAATTAGAGCTAAGTATAAAAAAAAGAAAAATTATTTTGGCGTCAGGTATTAGAACGAATTTTTAATATCACACTTGCATTAGTTATGCGAAGCATACCTTTTCGTGGTCACAGAGAAAAACTCGGTAGTGGAAAAGGAGAAAATGGTAACTTTATTTGTATTGTTGAACTACTTGAAAAATACGATCCAGTATTATAAAATGTTACTAAACAGGGTAATAACAAAATAAATTACTGTAGCCCCATGATTCAAAATTAATTGATACAGTTAATTTCAAATAAAGTCGAAAACGAGTTAACACTTAATATTAAAGCAGCTCCTTTTATCTAATACTTTCTATCAAACAAAAAACAGCTCGAGAGGTTAACTTCGAGGATTTAATTGATAAGTTTGCTGAAGTAAAAGCAAACAATTTTTATAAAACTGACTGCACATTACTTTAAATATAGATTAAATATTTTAAAAATTGTGTTATCGCCTCATTTATATTATTTATAAAAAATTTGATTTATAATGTGTAATAAATATGATTTAATTATTTATTATCCGTTATCAAGGGTGGGTCTAGATATATATTCTGAAAGTGGGTGCATGCTCTTCGTATCCCAAATTTGTAAGACCAAGGACCTTGGTCTGGATTATTTGGCTACGGACAGTTCTAGTTGCGCCCACTGTCCAAAATACATTAATATTTTAAATTATTTTAATATATAATTAAATTATTATTTCGGGCTATGTTTATAACCAATGGATTTATAAAGTAAATGCTGAGGGAGCCAACTCGGTACATAAATCTAGGGAGCCAATTCAATGTGTAAAAACGTCGATTACCTGAATTTGAGAGCCGGATTCAACACTCCGCACTTTGCAACGTTCCTCGAACGATTACTTGTCGCGAGTGACTTGACGCGCGTGTAGAGGAAAAGAAACGGCAAATTTTTAGAACGGCTATAAACGAGAAACACTTTTCGCGTTAAGTAATTATGAAAATATTCCGCGGGCGCGTGTATGCGAACGACACAACAACACACACGACGAGAACGAAAAAGATGCGAGTCGGTGAGCTTACGATTCGGTCGTTACGTATCGTCTATCGCTGTTCATCCAATGGAAAACGAGATCGTTGTTCGACGGTTTTTTCCCCATGAACTATGACCGTAACCTATGACCAACGATCACCGTGGTCGCTTACCGCGGTCACAACCGTTTTCTGTCGTGAATCGTGATCACCGCGGTGTAGAGACGGGATGTTTAGTTTGTTTGTGTGAAAAGTTCATTAGTTCACAGTTCGTTTAAATGAATAGTTTTTTTTTTTTTGAACTATTTTTAAGTGTAGTGAAACTATCTTACAGTACCAGCTTTGAATTTTCAAGTGGGAACTTTTTAATACAAATTGTCAATTGAATTGATTTTTCTGAAAATGTTGACGTATTGTAATCGAATTTTGAAGGTACAGTTTTTGAGTTATTCTATATTACATAAGTATACCTACTAAAGGATAATGGCATACAATTGGATTTCAGATGGCTGCGCGATTCAAAACGAAAAATTGCCTACAAACGACTCCTGTGAAACGGCCGGTATCCAATCATCATAAAAGGCTGCCTATATTTTTAATATTAAAAACAGAATAATTCAGAAACTTTTCGATGAAATTTCGATTACAGTACGTCAATATTTTTGGAATAAAATACATCTAATTGACAATTTACATTAAAACATATTGGTTCTCTTTTGAAAAACCAAAATTGGTGTCGCTACAGAATAGATACTCCTTAAATGTTGTAAAAAATCTAAGTATAGCCAAAATTATTTAAATACTCTTTAAATGTTTTAAATGTCCTTAAAAATCTAAGTATAACTATGCGAAAAAATCATTCACCATAGGTACTTACTTATTAGTTTCTATTGACGGTTTCATTATTTTCAATTTTGCTTTTTGTTGCAATTCTGTTAAGAATAATAAATAATCATCGTAAAGACCTGCAAATTGTATAGAATAGGAACTTGTATTGGCTTTTTTTTTTAGATTTGACCAAATTTTCAAAACATTTCGCTATTTTTGAGCTAATTATATGCATTTGACAACTTTTTAGATTTGTTTTAATTAATATTTGTTTAATTCATTTTTTGACCAAATAGAAATGATTGAAAATTTATCGCGACGTTCATTGTACATATAGTGATCAGAAAAAAAATTTCGATCGTAATGTAGTTGATAGTTTTTCATCTATAAATTTAACTGGTGGGGCCGCACCTCACGGCTTAGTAGGGAAGGTGTCAACGGTAAACTAATTTATAAGTTATTTAGTAACTGATAACAGCAGTGAGTGATCGCTTAATGCTTATACCTTCATAAAATAAAAAAGGTAGATAGTTTTTTTTATATATGCGTTTAAATATTAATTTAAATCGTAAAATCACGTCATTTTGAGTACCTAAGTACTTACCTATTTTTTTTTTTTTTTTTACAAAGTCAAAATTGTTGAAAATTTAACACGTAATGGTTCATCATAAGTTTTTAAGTGTTTTTGATGGCAAAAAACAATAGTTGAGCGTAATACAATGAAATAGTTTTTTGTTTTAAACCCATGATCAAATTTTCATAGATTAAATTTGACGAGAATCACGGCATTTCAAATATGTCTAACCAAACTTCATTTAAAATTGTAGGTACCTACCTATTTCGTTAGCATAGGTACTACAAATATTTTTATATTAATAAAACAGAAGTTATTACATTTAGTAGGTAGGTAACACAACAGTAAATACATTATAGATCATACTTACTGAAACTTCATCTGTCGTATGTAATTAGTTATCAGCACATACTGTCCAAGTCGCAAATTATATCCGTCTAGAAACGTTTTGACCTTCCAGGAACTTTCTGTTACTTTTTTGGTCCAATTATTCTGATAGTTTCGGTTCGAATTAGACACAATAATGTTATTAGAACTTCATTAGGAAAAATATTTAAGTAGTATTAAAATCACATCCTACAGGGACAGTAGAAATTGCATTATTTAGTTTCTCAAATGTATACCTGCGTTAAAATGTATGGGCAATAGCTAAAACATACGCCAATGACATTCTGTGAGAAATTTATTTTAAACAGAAAAAGCTTGACACACAGTACTAAATATTTTTAAGGAAAAGTAATGCATAATCCAATAAGGAAAAAAATAAGTATTATTTTAAATTTCAAAAAAAAAAAAATTAAATGGGTTAATTATTAATACATAGATTTGCTTGGTAAATAAATTTACTATTAATATATTATTTTTTTTAAATCAGATTAAAAAAAAACCATCACTACTTAGTATTCTGTATTTGTATGTTATTAATAACGATAAAAAAAAAAATGTGTATATTATTAGTTTTAATTGATATTAATTAATGAATAGGTACTGAAATACTTTAAATACCTATTTATAATTAAAAAAAAAAAGTGGAAAATAATTATATATAAAAAAATTAGATTAAAATCATTAAATTGATTTATAACAACCTCCAGCAAATTAAATATAAATTTAAAAATATCATATTAAAATAATCATTTGTAAATATTGTATTGCATAATAACTTGTATATCAATTATTAGACACACCTAACTTGAAGCACAAACTAACTTGAATAATTACTGTAAATAAAATCAAAACTCGCACCAATATTAAAAAAAAAAAATTACCATTAGGGACACCCGATACATATTTGTGTATTTTATTGCAAGGGAAAATACTACTTTATTCCAAAAAGAAAATACCAGTTCACCTTTAAGAATGACAGTGCTTCTCTTGGTAAGTAAACCGCTAATCAATCACTTAAGATCAAATTGTAAAAGACAGCATTTAGTGTCTGTAGAAGTCCAGTTTCATGGTTTCCAAAATAATATATCCACAGAGTATAAAAAGGGATTTCTTAAGCCAACCTTAATCAATACAAACCTACAACTCAAAATCCCCTGTTATTTAATTGTTGTATAATATGTTTAGTAATATTATTATTTTTCTTTTTAATTTTTCATCTTACAATAAAAAGTTTTTTTTAAATATTTATAGTATTATGACAACTCTAAATGCTTTCTTAAAATTTGAAACATAACATAAATTAGAAATAAATAATCTACAATTATTTAGGATAAATGTAACTTTTGGTTTGCATAAGGATAATTAGATTGTATAGGTAGATAATGGAATGATGTTAACCACTTGATTAATTATAAACACAAAAAAAATTCAGAATATTTGATTAATTTTGGTATTTAAAAAAAAAATTACATGTTGATGAAATTAAAATAATAATAATAATTCTATATAATAAAATAAAATAAAATAAAAATGTACTTAAATCTAAAGTAACACATAATTATTAATAACTAATAATATCATGTAATCACTGAACAACCACAATTATTACAATAATTTTTATAATCTATAGTTAAATTTATAAAATTGGTATTCTACATTAGAAAAAATAACACCAATACATTAAGCCCATAGTTTATTTCTTAAATGGTTAAGGTATGATTTTATAATTCATAAATCAAGTAAATCACAATATGTATCAGTAATAATGTAATACTAATTGTCGCCTACACTGGAAGACTTAAAATCAACAAATATAAAGTTAACAAAAATGATTTTAAATTGTTATTATGTCTGTAATTATAATATGATGTGTTTCCTAATTAAACGGTTTTAATTTAATTACAATATTTATTAAACTTAATTATTCCACAACTAGTGGTATTGTTGACACTAGATCTAAAAATAATAATAATCAGTTTTTTTTTATTACAAAAAATATTTTTATTTTACCTGCTTACTTAAATAAAATACAATTTGATAGCAATATTATATCAAATTAATAGAAATTATTAAAACAAACAAAGTATTACATTATAGTTCAAATGAACATCAACTATTAAAAAGTAAATTCTAAACAAATAATTATCAAAGGTATCTATAGATTTCATTTGATGCTAATACAAAACCAACAAATATTAAATGTGTTTAACAAATATTATTTATTTTTATTTTAATAATTTATACCATGAGAACTAAAGTTACAACCAAAATATTTAAATTATAAATTATAATTTTCAATACATTATGTTGAGCATTTAAGTTTTAAACAATTAAATTGCCTATTTATCATAATTTTAATAATTAAATATTGAGTTTTCAATAAAAAAAAGTTAGTAAAAAAACTAAAATAAAAGTATACAACTATATCAGAACTATTTTGTACAAATACTTAAAAAAGAACATGCACGAATAAATTATTTTGTGACCAGTTATGTCAACAATTTTTTTTATTTGTTGTTTTATGATTTATAATTAAAAAAGAAAATGTAAAATAATACCATAACTTATCACAACTAAATAGTTAATAATAAATTGAATATTTTTCAACGTATAATATATTATTTTGATTTTCAATAAAAATGGTTTAATTTTAAAACCTTTTATAATTGTACATAAGTACAATAATAATAATAATAATAATGATGATGATGACAACATTTCTTATGTTTATGTTGAAATATATAATCTACAAAACATTTTATTTTAAAAACTATTACAGTAATATTTACACAAATATATCATCTAAACAAAATAATTCTGTGATGTTTAGTAAAGGGGGTATCCAGAAAAGTAAATTAATGCAAATTTAGAGTTAAAACCCCCCAAAAAAAATAATTCTTTAAGTTTGAGAAAATTGTTATTTATTATTTTTTTTTTTTTTACAGTATTGTAGGTTTTGAAGGTCTTTTACTACTTCCACCAGATATCTCCCATCAATCTCGAATATCCGTAGCTTCTATTTCTGTTGGTCGTACTTCTCAAATTTTTTATCACTCTATCAAGTCATATCGTCATTTCCATGGTAAAATTATTCAAACTTGGACAAGTTGCAGTTTTGTCATAACCGTAAAACTGACTTTGACAACTAAGACCCCTTTGCCGGTAAAAACATTTATTAAATTTCTATAAAATATGTATGTGTGTGTGTGTGTGTGTGTGTGTGTGTGTGTGTGTGTAAGTTTAATTGAACAAATTACATTAAAAGATAGATTTTTAATAATTGTTAGAGTATTGGTACAATATATTAAATTTTGTAATAAAATAGTCATACATTTGTATTACTTATCTGGATTTGGATTGTTTTTATTTTTTTAATCGGCAAGGAGTCCTTCAAAATGGCAATGGCTAAATGATCGACCAACTACAATAAAATAGTGACACAGACTTATACTAGGTCAAAGATTATAAGATTATTTATATTATAATATTCAATGGAAAAAAGTAGATTTAAATGTCTCCTTTCTATTTTTGTTTTCAATTATCAGATTGGTTTCCAGCTTTTTCCATTTGTTTTTATCTCAATTTTTTTTTCAATCACATCCTTAAAATTGTATTATTTACTTTATATATTCTATCTTAAATCATCTTATGTAGTTTTCCTATTTATCACCCTTCTAAAATGTATATATATATATATATATATATAAGTAAAACATACACTTAAAAGTATGCTAAAATATATCAAAATTAATGCAGTCAAGAGTGCTCAAAAACATTATAAATCTCTTATACTCATAATATATTTTAATTTTGAGTTAAATTAATTCAAGTAGAATCATCTCATAAGAAACAATAATTATACTGGTGTAGTCTGATTTACAGTGTATACTAAGAAATTTTATTTACATGATCTAAATATTTGTGTAAAAGCTCTTGAAACTTATAGCATATATGATAAACATAATATTGTTTAATAAATTGTGTATAACAAAATATCAAGATATTATGGATATATTAAATGATTAAACAGAAAAAAACATTGTTTTGATTTACAATAATGCTTATCTACCATAGAGGTATAAACTTATAGTGTTTTGTACAGAAGTTAGTTGTTCACTACAACTCATGAACGCTATATTGATAAACAAATATCTTATTTAATGAGGTAAAACTGTTAGTAATAGAATATATTATTTTAATCAGCAAAAATTTAAAATTCAAAATTTCTTTATATTTTGACACATGTGAAGGGCCAAAATAAACATAATTCACTTAGTGCCAATGATAATAGCAGCCAAAAAAACTTCATGAAAGAAAAGGAATGTGACTGTGCTCTGGTAAAGTCAAAGTCTATGTTTCTATCCCTATTGTGTATGATTGGTATAACACGAACAATAAAATCAATTAAAAGTTATTTTATTGGAAAAAATAATCTCTAGTAATATTAAATATGATATTTAACCACATGTAAGTTAGAATTATGCAGTACTTTATTTTTTAATTCTAACTCCAATTTCATTTATAACATAACATAACAGTAGTTACATCTAAAACTAATTCTTAGAAAAAGAACATGTAACATGTGATTTTCAGTCTATCCCTGGAGTTAACCATTATTATTATATAAAAGTATTAACTATATGATGGACTTAATATTTCCTAATATTTTAAGCTACATTAAAAAATATTTTTTTTTTGTTACAATGTAATGATAGTTATTTTTAATAATTTAAAATCAAATATTTTGTGAATAAAGTAATAACTTAAAATAAATTGTATTTTTTTATACTTGCATTACTTGTTTTGTATTTGTCTTTAATTTATAGAAACATTGTTTGACAATAATATGATAATAAATGTTTGAAATTCCATATTAATTTTCTCATAACTATCAAATTTAGATTTATCCCCCTTTACTCTAACATAGCAGAACTGCAATATACAATAATTGATAATACTTAATATATATATAAAATATTTACAAATTGAGAGAACATATGGTACATGATGAATGCTGACCACATGTGGAATTATGATGGACGGGTGGTACAGGGCTATCAGTTGGATAACGTTGGGGACCAAAAATATCAGCTGTAGTCATCATCGAAGTAAACCAACCATGGTTTACAGCTGGTTGTCTGTTGAACATTGTAGAAACAGGTGAATTCTGTGATTGAAAATAGGAGCTGCCGGAGTTCCTATTAATGTCTGCGGATAATGGCGAGCAACGTTGGCGCGCATTGACACCACGTACTTTAGATCTCGCCCCGCCAACGGCAGCTCCCGACTCTACTCACATAACCTATTAAACAAATATAATGTAAATAGTAACTAATTAGATGTCAACTTCACAAATAACTGTATAATATTTAGGTACCTATTTAAATTATTCTGTAAAATATACCTGTAAAACTATTGTTCCTTCATATGTATTATTAGGATTTAATGTAATCGGAGTGATCACTATGCCAGCTTCAACACATATCATGTTTGGATATTCGTCTTCACCAAAATCACTCATCGTGCTAGACGTTACATCCCATGGGTTCCATACGACTAAAAATAACATTATTCAGTTTTGTTTTTGGAGTATTTATCATTTATTATTTACCTGTATCTGGCATATTGTACTTAATCATTTTCATTTTTCTTCCAGATACAACATTTGAAATCACATGTTCCTGCTGTGTATTTTGATAGATTCTATCAGTCCAGTGATTAACAGTCACCATTTCTCTAGGTTCTTGATATACACCATTTTCTTTGGTCTATTATTTAATATATGTCATTGAACATATAATTGACTAATCTTAAATAAATAAATATTAAAAGTTCATACCTTATCCACATACATGCATCCTTGAAGACCGGATATATTACATTTTCGAACATCTGGTACTTTTAAATATGTGTGAAAGAGCATGTTAAATTGGAATGGCTCGATAGAAGTGTTGTATAAATTGAAGCTGACTTGTAATTCTTTTTCTCTCAGTATTACTCTCAACACTAATTTGAAACTGAAAACCAAAATAATATAATATAGTAACTTCTGGTAAATTGTTATTCTAAATTAAAATTAATTACCTATAGTTCCACATTTGTTTTGTAATAGCATTATCCACCAAGGAGAATAGTGATTCAATGTCGCCATTTTCTAATGGTTCAGGTTGTTTTTCAACATTCCATCTACATGTCATGGCAAAGCCATGATGTGGACCATAAGCCCAGGATCCAAAATGAGCTGTATAAATATAATATAATTATTTAATTATTTAACGAACATGTTACTTTTTGTAAAATATGTTTTTATGAGACTTAGGTTAAAGAAGTACTTTAGAAAATTGTTTTAATATAGCTATATAGGTATTTTGTTTATATATTTCCAAAACTGTAGCTTATTTAAAAATATGCAAAGATCATAATATTTAAAAAGAAGCAGGGAATAAATTAATAATATTAAATAATATAATATTGAGTACATAGGTACATAGGAACTATATGTATACATCATTCATATATTACACTTAAATATTATACTTCTTTTCAACAGATTATAATAATGAGTTTTGAAAATTACATTAAATATGTACAATTTTATTATTGATTGAAAATATATTATCTATACAATTATTTTTTAAATAAAGTACAGTAATCAACATAATGTGAATCATTTATTATCTCATACATCCTTAATTATTAAGGGGATAAATCATTTTTCATTTTCAAATAGCAACCTATATTAAAAATTAATAAATAGATGAAGTTTTAGTTTAAATACATTTTTAATTTACATCAACTTATTGACAAGATTTTCCACTGTTAAGTTTGGACAGGAGAAGAGTAGTAGAGCATCATTTGTTTGATGGAGCAATACACGACATTTGAGTGGTTCTCCACTATTCTACCAACAAAAATTGAGTATCTCATAAACCGGGTGCCGGAAATATTAAAAAGTTCACACCTTTAAATAAGGTGTATGTTTTGAATGTTTAAAAACCAAAATTACGGAAATGAACATACTTTGGGATTAAAAGAGTGTCTTGTGTTACGATGATCACCCTGTATAAGTATACTCCAATTATCTATCTAATAAAAATAATATTTTCTTCTCACAAATTATTAATCTGTTATTTTCCAATCATGTTATTCTCATTATAAATGTTATGTCGCTGTTCAGTTATTTTTAATAATGTCTATCCAAATTGTTCAGATCAGTAGTTCTACTGGATAATGGATATATTATATTTCTTAATTGTTCAAAAATGTTTTCTTCTGTTCACTTTCTTTCATTATGTTTCATTATACAACTTTTATAGTGAGTCAAAATTACTATTACATAATTATTATTGTTTTGTTTCCGGGATTTTTATTTCTTTCAAAGAATAATGTGCCAAAGCTTTCAATAATTAATTTTTGAAGTTTTCAATCCTTTATTTGAAAAACAAATCTGGTTTATTTCTTAGAAAAAAATTTAAAATAATGACATTTAAATAATAATATTATCATTACTTCCATTCTACTCCATTGATTAGTTATTTTTAATAGTTATAAGTATAATAATTTCCTAATTTTATTTTTAAAACACCCTCTAAATTAAAACATTCAATCAAATTAGTGGACTACACACAATGTTAATGTAAATATATAAGTCCAGCTTTATTATTTTTACATTTGATTCCTAGGGATGCATGAACAGTGAACATTTTATCAGAAAAACGTACACACATATATGTTTTATATAATATTTAATTACTTTTGTTGTAGGTATACTCACGGAAAACAATTGGAATTCCTCCGCGAATTGACTTCTGTCCATCAAACACAGCCAATTTACTAAAAATTAATAATCCAAATAATAACAAAAATGAAAACAATATAAATTGCTTAACACATACAGGGAAAATATTAAAATTTTATAATTATTCAAGAAAGATAAAACTCTGTGTGAAAAATTTAACATGGAATTAATTTTTCATTAATTATGTTATAGAGTTATGAAATATTATAAAAATCTAGGTGCATAAGTTTTTTTTTTTTCAAACATTTTAAAATTTCAACATGTGCCCTTTATGAATGGTTTTCTGCATTTAGCGGTTCATATATTATTATTATTTATTATGTTATGGGAACAAAATTCCACTCACAATATGTATAAGTATGTAACATAAAAAATTGCATTAATAAACTGTATAGCTAGTACAAATCAGCATTACATAATTATAAATAAAAAAAAGCATTTTGTATTTAATTTAATAGGTAATTAACAATAGTTAGTACTCATCTAAAATTGTATTTCCTATCGCCATCAATATATTAGCAGATAAAGATCGCAAATAATTATTAGAGATATTAACATTTACAAAACTGTCTAGATTTCTGGAAAATTTGGAATCATTCCTAAATTCTTTTTAAATAATTTTGCGTCATCTAAATAACAAGATAATAAAAATAATGTTTGAGAAAGATAATATTATGTATATTATATAAGAAAGGTACAAAAAAACATTTTATATTTAAAATTTTAATATATTTTAAATATTATATTGTGATGTACAGTGACATATTTACAATCTTCTTCTGTAGATAATCAAAAAAAAAAAAAAAACAAAAACAGTGGATGTCAGAGAAACTCTGTCCCCTCCCCCTTATTTGCTTTTTTATATTTACATTTAGTCCTCCAAATATTGTCTATACTGACTAAAGTTACCTTGATAAATGGAACTGTGACAATAACGATACAATTTGCTGATGTCTTTATATGGTACAATTTTGTAATAAACGAAATTAATACTGTATTCTAGGGTTTAATTTTAAACTTCTATGTAAACAATTTATTAAAATTAAACTAATTTATTAAACTAAATTAAAATTAGGTAAATTAAACTGAGTATCTACTAAAAAAAATGTACATACTTCGCGCGATGGGTGGGCCACTATTGTAGGTGAGAAATTGGGAAGGTAGAAGGGAAATTTAATGTGTAATTTGTACGCACTGATTAATCATTGCAAACGAAAAACGATTCTAAACGGAGTTCGATTTTACATGTTTTGAAAGACCGTAATATTTACGATTTGAAAATAATACATTTTTTGTTTTTTCCCGGTTTTTCACATTTATAAAAATTATAAAAATTTCTAGGAAAATCAAAAAAATGACCACCTTAAAGTACCATAATAGTCAGAGTTCTTTTCAGAAAAAGTGCTACATTTGAAAAACGGAGCAAGATTTCTGGTAGAAAAATTGTTAACAGATAAAAATTAATAAAATATAATGAGGACGGGTACAGCCACTGGTGTAGATGAGAAGTTGGAAAGGTAGGATATAGACGGAAATTCAATGTATATCTGTATGCATCGATAAACCATGGCTTACAAAAAAACGATTCTGAGCAGAGTTCAGTTGATAGTGATGCTTTGTCAACAATATGTACGTCATTTTATAGTAAAATAATTAAAAAAGCTTTGTACATTTTCTTTAATAAAATTTGATTCATGTTTTACCGATTTCCCAGTTTTTCTACGTTTTTCCTATGTTTTATACCAGTTATTCATATTTGCAGGGAAAATTATTGGAAAAATCAAAAAATTACCTCTCTTAAGTACCTATCCCAGTGAAATTTCCTTTTAGAAACATTGCTGTCGTTAAAAGTTGGAGTGAAATTGCTGGCAAAAAACATGTGCACAGGAAAAAAGAAGGCCGTAATATATTTTAACTCGTACCTCCATTTCTTATATTTTCCCTTTTTTTTCGGTTTTTCAAATTTCATGAGAAAACCCTAGGAAAAATCGAAAAATTATCTTCTCAAAGTACTTCCCAACGTTAATTTTCTTTCAGAAATGGTACTACACGTAGAAATCCGAGCAAGTTTTCTGGTAGAAAAGTTGCACAGATTAAAAATATAAAATAAAACAAATAAACATCTGTGTACAACCATAAGCTCCTTCACTTCATTCAGAATCTAAAATAAAAACGTGTAGGTATTGTAATGATTTTATTGGAAGTAACAATAAATCTATCGACTGTAGGTAATATTTCAAACATTAATTTTATACCTACAATAATTTATTAAATATTATATTTATATAATATATATAGCATTATATAACTTTATGAGAGTAAATTATAACACTTAAACATTTAGATTGAGTATTAAGACATCCTATCTAAACTTGAGTATGAAATTGCATACCTATCCTTATTAGCTATTCCTCCGGCTTAAATTATACACAGAAATCAAATTCATTCCAAATCTTCGATAATCGCTCATTCGTGAAGAAATATAACCACCCCGTATAAAACAATTATGAAAAAAAAAACCGTTTATGATATTATTAAATAAAAGATGCGAGCGAAAAAAACTTGTTTATTCTTAAGTTTAAGTAAAATAAGTACAGAGGTACTCTGTAGAGACTCATAGTTATACCCTTTTCACTCCTGTCATACGCAGAGTTAAAAAATGTATTGATTTACGTTCAATATATAGACAACAAAGGGCAAAACAATTCATTAATTATGAAATTCGTTGTTTATATAATATATAACTGTATAATAGTACATATACTATAAATAACGAAAAGGAGTGAATAATCTCTCATTCTCTAATGGTAGTTTCTTTTTCAACTTTTAAATCTGTTAATAATGAACGTTATTTCTTTCGGGCAAAGTATTGATTTTCTTTTTTTTAACTATCTAGTTAGTTATAATTAAAGACTCGTATTATTCTCATGGTCTGCGAAAAATACAATGCGAAATGTTCTTTTTTTTTTCTTTGTGTTAACCATGCAAATAATTAAAATTTAAAAAAAAAATGCCTTTCGAGTTCATATAATATAGACACAGTTGGTGACGGGCAATCTCAAATATTTAATTGTTGAATAATACGAACCTACTACTTACCCAAAGAAATAAATATTCCATATAAAAATGCGTAACGTGTAGTAAGTAAGGTAATGGATAATTCAGGTTGTTCTAAAGATTATGAGAATATTGTTGGAAATTAAAGGAAAAATCGTCGATATATGTAGGTATATACTTATATTATTTTATTAGTTTGTAATCGGATATTAATATGTACAGTACAAATAATATAAATCAATCCATTTTTGAATTATGATTTTTAATAGTACAGTAAAACTCGCTAAGACGTTCCCGCTAAAGTCGCTTTCCCGTATAAGACGCTGTTTTCCGTTGGTCCCTAGACATTTCCAATACTCTAGTCAATGTAAAAATCACCTGTTAAGATGTTCGGTTTTTCTCTATCTAATCGGATAAAACGCTCTTTTGTTCAGCAGATTACGATCAATTTTAGTAGTTGTGTGAGAATAAAAATAGAAACACCTATCAGAAATTCGAAAAGTATTATCCTCTGTAGAAAATGTTGAAGAAATGTTTGGTTATGTTAACAAAATAGAGTAATTTCTTGTACTGTCAGAATCTTAAGCAAACAAAAATAGATAATTTTTTTTTAATATAATAAAATAGAAAAAATAATAATAAAAACACCTACATACGAGGTATGTACAATGTATATTGTATAAATGTATTACCCGTTAAATTATGCTCTATAATAAAAAAATAAACTCGATATTTCAATCACTTAATTTTTCAATTCCCGCATAAGACGCTCTAAAGAGCTGGTTCCCTAAAGAGCGTCTTAAGCAAGTTTTATTGTATTTAAACAATCAATTTGAAGTAGATATACTTATAATATTTATATTTATTTATTGACGTTGCTGTAAAAACACGAATATTAATTATTATGCATTGGTTAGATAGTGAAAAAAAGTTGTACATTTGAATAATACCTAATTTAAAACCAATTAACTGAATTGATGAACTGAAAAATATAATATTAAATACACAGAGTATTTCAAATTTGATATCTGAAAAATTTTCTGAATGTATGCAAATTAAAGGAAAAAAATGGTACATTTTGAAATGTTTTATTGGATTCTTAGTATATAACGACGAAGACGCTATAAGTTTTACAAAGACGCGTTTTTTTCCTCAGGAAAACACTATTACGATTAGTAAAAATCGGAATAAAAACGCTCCGATTTTTCCACGCAGTATTTAAAAAAAAAAACATTTTCGGGTTAATGGCATTTTATTTAAAACAATTTATCGAAATTTTCAACAGTTCACCAACAAGGCCTTTTTTATTTTTGGTTTCTATCAGTTTTTTGGGATACCTGAGATATCTTGACAACAATGAAAAAACAGCACAGATATTATGCTCCACTTAGAATAGTTTTTCGTTTGCAATGATTTATCATTACATGAAGTATATAAAATAAATTATTCTATACATTCCGACATTCTATCTACCGAACTATTCACCAATAATATAGTAGTAGCTTACTCATGATAAGATATTTCCGGCTTTTATTTTACAGTACTTATAAGGGAAAAATAAAAAAAGACAAGAAAATATTTTTAAAAAAATAATCTTTATACAATATGCTATTTTAAAACAACTGTAACTTTTTTAATAATTAAAATTTTATAAAATGCTGAAAAAGTCTACGAATTTCAATAAAGGTGTTTTAAAACGATTTGAAAGGCCTTTTCGTTGCCAAATGAACAAAGACGGAATGCATTATTAAAATATTTGGTGGAAGATTATCGGAGGGCTATAGCGTGGCGTTGAGGGAGGTTAAAGGTTATATCTCCCACTGTCTTAAAAATACAAAAAAATATGAGTAATCCAATATCGAAATGTATATATTTCAATGAAGTTACGAGGAAAATGTATTGATTAGAAATTTATTTTTTTTTTTAGGATCAAATGTTTAAATTACCAATTCCCATAGTTAAGTTGGGTAATGAAGACGATTTTACGATTTATTCATGATTCTTATTTGCTACATTTCCTCCCATTGGTAATTCCTAAGCACGTTATTGGCTATATAACAACCCCGGAAAGTATTTATTTGGAACGTATTTGTTCAAAAAATAAAAACTAAAATCCATATAACGATAATACCGGAATTCATAATGATAAAAACCGTAAGTCCGGAGGGACTGTATGAGCTCGGAAAATAAAAAACCAAAAGCCGTGTTTGTCCGGAAATTATTTAATCGGTCTGTGTATGTAGGCATTATATATTGTTCATTATCGATTGTAATTTGTTGATAAGTTTGTTTTATTAGGCTCACGCCCATAAATAATAATAATAATACATACGATATCACTATTTATACTTGAACAAAATAGCAAAATATCAGGAATAATATTGAACGGAAACTTTGAAATGTGAAGTTAAAATTTTTTTTATAAATATGTTGTTTGAAAAGTCCTAGTTATTATTATTAATATTATTTTTTTTTTTGTATCACTCAGTCGAATATAAAGTTCGTTTAAAAATTACCGTCATCGTTTCGCCCAAATTTTGTTATTATAAGATTCTCGTTTCACTCAGACTAGTTTAGATTAATTTAAAATTAAGTTAGCAATGAAGGTTCAGTCAAATATTGTACATCATGAGTTATAATATTTTAACTTCATTTAGAGGCAGTTATACGCTAAAAAACAATGATACCTAATTTATTAACACACTGCACCAATATCGTAGCTTAGTTTATCTAGTATAAAAATAAATTACTTATAAAGTAATGAACTATACATATTATCTTTGAACGTGGTCAGTGTATACACAACGTGTATAGCCGTTATATCGCATACAAATTTTACGACACAAACTATATTATACTATTTATTAATGATATAGCTGTGTTTTTAAAAAGTAAGAGACAAAGCTACGTCAATATTTAATAGTTATAAATACAATTTTGATTCAAATAACATAAATACATGCGAGATTCATTGGCGTTGAACGTTCGTGTTCTACTACATTATACACTTTTAATAGATTCTGATCGAAATCACAACAATCATATACCAGGCAATGATTCAGAAATAAACTGTCAAATTATGAGTACAAATTTTAAACGGAAAGCTTCAAAAGAAATTTGTAAACAACCAAAAAAATAAATATTTTAAATGAATTATAACGCAAAATGCTCAACTTTTTGATAGCCTAATATCAAACGATTTTAATATACTCATAATTAGAAAAGAAATTTATAGAAGTAGACGTAAAGTTCTTCCTATTTTACCAAGTAGCATAAATAAAGCACATATGGCTTTAAATAACATTTTAAACCTTTTTTTTTTTTGCTTTATGGGCCATTAAGGCCATTTGCAGAATCGCAGCTTCTATTAATCTCCTCCATACGTCACGGTCAGTAGCGGTCTCGAATCTCGATGTTTGCTGTTCCGTCTATCATTCTTACATCTGCATTAACTTTGTCTTGCCACTTTGCTCCCGTTGCCAAAGTCTTCCTCTAAGGCGCTTGCCAGTTGGTTTATTGAGCAGTACCTTCCGAGTTATGCTTCTTTCAGCACATTACACATTGTTTGTCCATTCTAAACACGCTTAGTTTTCAAGAAACATTTAATATTTGGTCTTATATTTTTTTTCTTTTATAGTCCCTAGTTGATACATTTCTGACAGGTCCAAATATTTTTCTTAATAATTTTCTCTTGAAGATAAGAAATTTATCCTTATCTCCTTGAATCATCGACCATGTCTTACAGACATACGTTACTATTGGTCAAAGATAAGTTACGTATATTTTTTTTCCTTTGTCGCCCATGATTTCCTAACCTTAATAAGTGCACTGCAGTAATTATACTCTGACCTTAATTGGTTGAGATAGTCTGATCCTCCAGGTTTGGGATTGAGGTATTTGCTAACAACCCGTCCTCGTAAAAAAGCAACTTGTTGTGGATCTTCTAAATACGCCTCAGAACAGTCATCATGGAACACGAAACGGAAAACGGTACAAGGACAGCAATGAATTAAGTAAAGGCACATAGAACATAATAACTTTATTTAAGCCGAGTGCTATGACAATTGTCACAGACCAGATTTTAACCATAGCCAATTTTATTTAAAATTGATCTAAACTAGTCTAGGCGAAATGAAAATCGTATGTTAACAAAATTTGAGCGAAATGGAAACGGTCAGTTTTGGGCGAGACTGGTTACACCCAGAGTTTACACGTGAAGAAAATAATACTATAGTGGCGGTCATTGGTTACGCTCATCCGTTCGACAAAGGAATATTGAGAACTGCGAAATCGAAAACCATTTGGGATTTAACAAATATCAAAAAATGCAATCTCGTCCCTGTCCTGGATATTATTAAAATTATCTATTAAGGGTCAAGTTGCTACTTGACAGGGGTAATTGGAAACGGAATTTGCAAGTTCTATAAATTGTATATTATTATTTTTTTATTTTTTTGTGGTATAACTTAAATTTAATAATTTTATTGATTGTAAATATTCAATTTAAATATCCATAAACTATCGATTTTTAAATGAATTACAAAAACGAAAAATGAATAACAATATTTCAAACATAATATAAACTCAAAATATCATTTGGTTATCAGAACATTTACTGGAAGCAGTAGAATATTAAATTACACCACGGTTTAAAATCGTTTCAAATTACCTTAATTTCCTTTAATTCATCCCACTTGACCCAATAAGCGATTAACTTAATTATTGTTTATTTAAAACGGTTATAAGCTACATATTGTAAGAAAACGCTAAATATGCATATGATAGTGTTATCTACGCGTCCTACAAATGTAAGAGAGCAAATTTGAGTTCAACAGAACCAATTTTGCGCTGCTAATTTTAATATTAGCGTGAATTGATCTATTATGAAACTTGAAAAGAATAACATTATTACCTATGTTTGTACATTGGTTTTTTCGTTATTTTAATTTTTCATGAAATACCACAATTTATAAATACTTGTCCTCTAATTAGTTTATCACAATATTTTATTTTTGCAAATTAAGTACTTAATCAATAGTTTAGCTCACTCCTAAAATTATATTATTATGTTATATGATATAATATGATATCATTAACTATATTACGAACACAAGTTTTATGAAATTTTAGAACCCTAATTATAAATGAACTAAGGTTTATTATATGTTTTTTTTATTAAAATTATGTAAATGTACTTTTTACAGATTATACAATTTTAAAACGACAATATTTAAATAAAAATTATATAGGTACCTACCTAAGATTATAATAATATAGCAGTACCAATCATTCTTTGTCCAATTTCTCATATAAAAAAAAAACCTACCTAAAATATCCATAAATTATATTATAAAAACGTGTATAAATCAATAGAAAGCCTACATCAAACAACTCTTAAACTTCGTTCAAAGTTTAAAATAAAATATAAAGAGAAAGTTAGATAAACTATTGGTATGGATATAATAAAAAAATAATACAAACACTATTTATTTATCAATAAAAAAATATTAAATGCACAACCAAAAAATGTTACCAATCTTAAAATAAATATTTATTAGTTACAATACATTGCTTAGTTAGGTATTCGTAATCAATTTACTGAACATTTTATAAATATAATCATTCAAGCATTTTAAAAAAAAAACCGGATATATTGTACAAAGGTATAACAGAAAACTGTTATAGGAGGAAAGATTGGAAGGTGTAAAGAGTATAAAAATTTGGTTTATATACTGTAAACAGTGATAAATCGTTGTAATAATAATAAAAAAAAAAAAAAAAAAACGATTTTAAGTGGAGCGGTAATTTGGTATAAAGTTGTAGAGTTATTAGTCGTATTTTTCCCTTTTTGTCATATAATAGCCAGATTAGTAAACAAAAAAAAAAAAACTAATTTTATCGACATTCAGTATTTTAATTTGTTCAATAAAATTATTGGGAATTTCGAAAAATGTATTAAAACAAGTATAATACGAGTAGCTAATAACAATGTATAGCAAATATATAATAGGGCAAAAAAGTACACATTTGTTTTTAAGTATATATATATACAAGAAAAATCAGAGCAGTCTTTGTAATTAACCGAAAATGCGATTTTCCAGTGGACAAATTTTTTTTTCAAAAAACTAATAGCTTCTTAACATCTATATTCGGAAACCAAAATTAATAAATTAAGTACTGTAAACACATATACACTTTATTTAAAAGCCTTTTGCTCAATCGGTAAATAAGGCGTATATGTTTACAATAGTTAATTTATTAATTTTAGATGGTCCTGCCAACAACAAGAAAAAAAAAATTTAAAAAAAAAAACTGATAAATTAATTTATCTCATTCAAATAATTAAATGCGTTTTTGAGGAAATAATCGGATCACTAGCAGTTTGAACCTACTATATTGTAAAGAATAACCTTGGATTTAGTGATCATTATCGAATGCTTGGGGTTAGTATGTTTGTGGTACGACTTTATCATCAAAGTAGCTATTACATTAAATTTAACCCAATCTATACCGTTAAATATATCTACGCGAATTCGATAATTAGTGTAACGAACAATGGTTTTTGTACGAATCTGTCAATAGAAAATTGAATTAACGTAAAAAATCACGGTTCTTAAAATAATTAGTTTAGTTAATAGAACATCTCAATTAGCTGATTTAAATTTTTAAATATCATTATTGAAAAATGTCTTAATGAAAATGTATATAAGGCACGCATTTATGACAAGCTCAATGATAAATTAGGCAGAGTATAAAAATAATTAGAGAGTGAATTGAAGGAGGCGATCGTCGTCCTTATCGTTTCATCCTAGATCCGTCTCTGTATTGAACAGTATAAGTTCTCATTATTTATGGTGGAAATTATTTTGTTTTTTAATTAATGATGAATTATTTACATACGAGAGATATGTAGTATAATTTATGTAGACGTAAAATTTGCAAGGAAATATTTTCGAAGTATAAAATATACGTATTTAAAAAGTCAGGATAGTATTGGGAAAGCAGAATGTCTAAAGAGTAATTCTGTTTATATACAGTATGACATTTTTCCAAACGAAAAAACCATTCTGAGCGGAATTTGGAGTTCAGTTTTTTGATTGGATTTAAATTGAACATTGTTTATATGAAACTCATACAAAATGAATTACAATCGTTCTCGATTTTAGCAAATTTTATCATAAATATGAATTTAAAATAAACTATAAAATATATTCATGTAAAATAAAAAAAAAACTTAAATAGTTATAAATAACTCGAACGCCGCCAGAGTATTTTGAAAATTGTAAAACGTCTAGAAAGAGTGCTAATTATTTAAAAGTAATTGGTGAACGTTTCGAGTTTCTACGATTAGTTTTCACTGAATTTTATAAAAAAGAATACGCGAAATTGGCAGAAACTTTTATTGGGTAAATTGTCCCCGTTATTGAGATTACTATATGCATTCCCAACGCACCAACTAGAAGAACAACATTTGCTATCATAAACCACCCCTATCGTTGATGGTTGGAACAAGATTTCTGAACGAAAATTTGTTGAAAACAAACAAAAAAAAAAAAAAACATACCCACGCACATTTAAGTGAAATACTGCAAAGCTTCATTGAGAATCTAAAATGGATGATGTATAATTTTGTTTTTAGTTAAAAGTTACGAACGTTTTTTATTTATACCACCGTGAACAATAGTTTTGGAATTTCAGACGACTTCGCTATACTGTATACGTAGTAATTTAACATTTTCAAACTGAAGTAAATAATAAAACGAACGCAAACAAAAACGAAATAACTATATAATAAGGTATGACGCCTGCACACGCGTTTATTTTATTTCGCCAAATTTTAACCGTAAACGAGTATGTCGAGTATATCATTAGTATATGTTTTAATCATGAAAAGTGATGTAAAAAAAAAAGAAAAAAAAACATCGTATCTATTTCATGAAACTGATAACATTTCATAAAACCAGCGATTATTTATTCGTATAAGACCAAGTGGACGCGATTCATATTATAATGTACACGCACTCGGTCGTGTATACATGCACGTCGCGTATTATAATATATTTCGTATATTTGTGTGAACGAGCAATTTTTTTTTCATTTTTTTTTTTTTTTTGTGCATCCGCTTTCGAACCTTAAGGGTGTCGGTCAGAAAAAAAAAAATAAAAGAAAAAAAGAAGAGTTTTGAACCCTGCGCGCAGCAGCGGGTCCGTGCCGACCCGACGACCGTCACGTCCGAAGGCGAGCTGAACGGCGCGGCGGCGGTGGCGGCCGCCGCCGCATCCCTTTCGCGTGCCTTGACAAATGAGCGTTCGAGACAAAAACCGTCGAACGGCGGCGGCGGCGTTCCCTTCTTCTCCGCGTCTTCGGATATACGTATATAATACTCCTGGCCCCCGCTCGGTACCTACCTCCACCGTACGCTCCCTCGAGCGCGCTTTTCTTCATACACACGATCCTTTCCCTCCGCCGCCGCCGCCGGGTTCTCGCCCGTTTTAATCCATAAAGGACCTCTATCACTAATTACAATCGTGGCCGCCGCCGCCGCCGCGACGACTACGGTATATCCGTACACGTATATATTATTATATATTGTCGCTGTTTGGACACGCCGCGCCGCCGAGCGCCGGCTACGCGGCGGCAAAAAACGCGCCGAGCCACGCCACCCGCACGCACGCGGCGGCGGCGGCGGACACACGTCGCGACGACGTCGGCGGCTGTGACGGGGTGGCGCGGCGGCGGAAGTTCGGCCCTAACATATTATATATATAAATGTGTGTGTGCGTGTGTAATAATTTATACGCAGAGAGAGAGAGAGAGACGGAGACGGCGTATCGTTGTTGCAGAAGGAGGTGTAATAATAAATTACAATACCGTCGGGATTCGGAAAATCACGACGCGATATTATCATAATTCCGTACGCGCGCGTGTATGTTATATTATAATTATTGCGCGTGCGGGAGTAAAACATTTAAGGGGTGCCGAACGAGACACGGTGCCGCGGGGTACAACGGTTTACTTACAATACGCGTGGCCGGGCGCGCCGATTGTCGTCCCACTTGCACGCGAATAATGACGTTTTGTTAATTTTATCATCGAACGTTTATTATTATTACACTTGTCGCGGGCGCCGATCGTTTGGAACTGCGGCCGTCGCATACTGGTGCGGGGTCGCGGAGAGAGGGGAAGGGGAGGGGGAGACCGAATTCCGGACCGAGAAATACTCGTCGCGACTATACGCGGTGTGCCGTCTTGTCTTCTCGACGTCTCAAAACGATTGAAACGCGATTCTCTATAATTGTATACGGGCTAAAGGGACGGAAACGGTAAAAAAAAAAAAAAAAAAAAACGAAATAAGTGTCTCGGATTCTCGAAAATGTTTGAAAATTGAATACAGCATTGTTCATCTTTGATTGTTCTTACTTCGCAAAACTGTACGAATATCGAAAATCCATAGAGGCAATTACGATTTTTTTTTTCATACATACAAACGTTTAAAATTCGATGAAAATAGGGGCATATTAAAACGGCTCAGAATCGTTTCGAACAGATATAAATTTGATAATTCGCTATATCCTATAACCTATATCTTCCCATCTATATAAACAGTGGCTAACTCATTAGCTTTTTTTTAAAATCAAAATAACATTCTTAACTGCAGCAGAGGCTATCAATGGATTCTATGTAATATACACGCGAACTCGTGTCTTTTGTTATGTTTTGTTTTTCAACTTTGCTCGACTACAATTTATGATGCGTTGATATATTAAACTTATCCATATCATGCAATTTGCAAAACGTTATAATCAGTTATATTTTTTTTATCTATATAGTAGTTTTCAAGAAGTTTGATTGATTCGAAATATATATTTAACAGATCTGAATTGACGAGTTCGATCCGTGGACCGAATTGACATATTTAATCATTCAATTAAAATATTAAACAAAGGTCAAAGATTAAATCTAATGTCCCGGATCTGAATGAAAATTAGGAAAGAGTCTGTTTTATCGTCATATGAATTGATTGCCAGTGTTACTAATTGTAAACAATTTTTATTTTGTCTGAACAATAATTAATTGAAATTTCTTTTGTAAAAATTGAGTCTTAAATTCGTCAATCTGAATTAGCCATTGTAATCCGCATATCCAAATTGATAAGGTTTTATACGGATTAAATGCACTAGTATATATGTATATAATTATCATTAGTATAATCTATAACTTTAAATATGAATCGTATTTATTTTTTTTTTTTCTAAATTCGCTCGATATTGAATTATTTAGTTAAGATAGCTTAACGAAAACTTTCAATAACGTTAGGGTATACATTTACTAAATAATATCTTGTATAAAATTACATTTTATCAATATATTTTATTAGTAATTAAAATTGATATCGTTTTACTTAATATTATCGTAGCTTATTCAAACGTTGTACATCAGTGCGTATTTTTATTATTATATTTTTTCATAATAATTAATATCGGTTAAATTATCTACTACAGAATTAGATTTTAAATGGTTTAGACTTGCGTACGCACACATTTATAAATTATACAACGGGGACGCTTATTGCTTGTTTAATTTATAAATTATACATATCTGTCTTCGAAATCGTTAAAAAAAACTAATTAAATGCCGATGTATACATACTACATAGGTATAATACGTGCACCCAGTAAATATTAAAAAGTCTCGAGAAAACCAATTTAAAGTTTCGTTTATCATTCGGAGACTGCAATACCCTGCACTATATAATTAATTGTTAAACATCACTATTAATTAAGTTAATTACGTATCTCATTTAATAAATCGTTAAGTATATGTACAGAAGTATTATATTTCAGTACAATTTATACAGTAGGTATCTATATAATTAATATAGTTACGAATACCTATATAATTTGTTTTAATAAACATATATCTATAGGCTATTTTTGCATTTATATAATAGACAATACTGATACATACAATTTTTTGTTACAATAGTAATATTATTAATAAGTACACAAAATATAATTTATAGGTTTTTTTTTTTGGCTAAAATTGATTTAAATATGGCCGGAGTATTTTTAGAAAATAATCGAATTGCAGAACTTTTTGCTACATAGTGTTTATAGTGTTTTTATATATATCATATATATGGTCAGAGAAAATTGCATAAAATAAAAAACAATTAACATTACAAAATTAGGGTAAGTTTACAGTCAAATTTCCTAGTAGTTGTGATTATATAAAACTACGTAATATTTATAATCCTTATTATGTTAGCAGCACAACCATAACAGACACTTATGAAATATATCCAATACATTTGTTGGTAACATGTTGACCATTGTTGGATCATTCCCCGAATTTGATAGAAATTATTTAAACCGGTATTTTTTTTTAAGTTTTTTACTGTCAATTATATTCTAAAAACACAATTTTTTTTCATCAATCGAGGTTAATATTTTTGATAAAATTCGTTAAAAATATACACATTTGCCAATTATTTTGTAGGCGATAAATATAATATATATATATATTTTTTTTTTTTGTGAACACTTTTTCTACCAGAAAGCTTACTTTGATTATCAAGTACAGTGTCATTTCTGAAAAAAATAATGTCTCTGGATGGTACTTTAGAGAGGTCATTTTTTGAAATTTTTATTAATATTTGAGATGATGAGGAAAACCTGATTCTTTAGGTTAAAAAAGATTGAAAGATTAAAATTAAGGTTGTCACTGGTAACCGTTTTTATTTATTTTTTGTTATTATTAAATTTGTATTATTTTAAAATCTTTTTTAAACAATCATTGTTGTCATGAAAACGTACATTGTTATAATCATTTTACCATAATATGACATATATATTGTTGAAAAAGGAACACTATCAACTATACTACGCTCAGAATCGTTTTTCCGGTAGCATTGGTTTATCGTTGCTTATAGATATACATTAAATTCCCGTCTGTATCCTACCTTCCAAACTTTCACCTACAACAGTGGCTGCATCCACTTGCGAAGTATGTCAGTTTTTTTTTGTTTTTATATTAAAATAATATATATTTCAGTGATTATACATGTAATAGCCAATATGTACTAGCTTCAATTTGTTCTCGTCGTCTTAAAATTATTAAAACATGATACTTTATAATATATATATCAGCTAAAGGGACGGAAACAGTAAAAAAAAAAGTGTTTTGGATTCTCAAAAATGTTTGAAAATTAAATACAATATTGTTTATCTTAGATTGTTCTTACTTCGCAGAACTGTAAAAATATTGAAAATCCATAGGCAGCCACGATTTTTTTTTTTTTATACATACAAATGTTAAGAATTTGATGAAAATAGCTCAGAATCTTTGCGAACAACGGTTGCTACAATGGCTGCACCCACTTGCGAGTCTTTTTTTTAAATTTTAAAATAGTATTTCAGTGTTCATACACGTAATAGTCAATATATACCAGCTTCAAATATTATATACCTAGTTATTATTTCATAGAGACGATTAGTCAAACCGTCATATGATGTGATAACAATCCTTATCAAGTATGATTGGTTCCAAACCAATACAAATGTATAAATAAATGTTATGTTAAGTATACCTTTATTATTTTTATATTCTACATTTTGAGACTAACTGAGATATTTATTTAATCGATAAAACTCGATAAGTAACTCTAATTTAATAATAGCGAAATCTTAATTTGTAAATACACATATTTGAATATAACATACGCGATAAATTATGTGTGTTTTTAATGGAACTATTAAATTGTTTGGGGCCCAATAATCCAATTACTATTGATAACAACCTGATAAAAAGAGTATGACGCGTCATAGTGTAGGCAAAAATCACATTAGGAAAATATCAAAAATTTGGTGTTATTATTTTTATTAAGATTGTTTGATATTTGTATTATTTATACTGATATTAGTTAGAATATAGTTATTCCGAGCATTCATCTTGATGACATTTGCTTTTCAGCATCCTAAGATTGTTTCATACATTTTCCAAAAAAATTCTTAAAAAAGTTAATAAATTCCGAGATAATGGTTTTATCGAGGATTGATCACTTTGTAAGCGAGAGTTTCTTAATATCTTTTTCCAAAATAATAATGTAATAATAAAAAACTATGCATATTTTTTCTCTGATTATATTATTGCCGTAGATAACAATAATAATAATAAAAACAAAAACACATAACATTATAATAGTGATATGATAATCTAATAATTTAACTAATTATAATTTGTGTTTAAAAATCGGTATTTTTTTTTTTTTTAATTTACAAGTCGTTAAATTTTGTTTTAATTATTATATAAAGTAAAACAATAATAAAACTAAATATTATTTCATTATAAATTGTACTCGACACTAGAGTTAATTAAATACGATTTATATATTTTTTAGCTTACAACTTCATGAAATATTTCAATCTTTTGAAAATTTAATTTAGTATTTTTAGTACCTACTTATATTCTCCAAATAATAAATACTTAAACTCTTTTGAAATGTCTTATTTCTTGGTTCAATGTCAGAAAGCTAATTTTCTTTTCTTTTATCTTCTATAATAAACTATCTAACTGAATAAAAAAACTGATAGGTATATTACTCGAAATGAAAGATGAAATAATTTGTTCCCAACGCTTTGTCATGTTTAAGTCAAAAGAAATTTTATAAAGCGTTTATTGATAAAAAAAAATACATAGATCTGGGATATTAATTACATTTTTTTAATTAAAAAACAAAATCTTGTATTCTTCTTAACAATTTTATTAAATAAATATAATAATATATTTATTTAAATTTTAAAAAATATTTATTTGTTTTTAGATTGTTTGATTTAAAACTGCAAATGAATATTTTAACAATATTAACTTATAATGCAGGTATTGCTTTTAACGGTTTAAAACTTGATTTTTATTTTTATTATATTTACTGCTGTTATCTCGCGTTACTTTACTGAATTTCACATTTATAATATAATTTCTAACATTTTAAATTATGTTTTTATTTCTACATTATTATTTTACGTACAAGTAAATAATTAATAATCATTTATTGGAGTTATGTATGTGAAGAATAAAGGTAAACTATAGCTAAATTTTAAACCGCTTAGAATTTTATTATTTTTTATTATAAACAAAAAATTGAAGGTAAATGAAACCATTTGTATAGATATGAAACTAATTAATAACTGTTAAGTATTTTAATCTTAAAATGTTATGTTAAAACTATATTATATACATACCTACGTATATTTCCTTTTGATTTTATTTTATTTTATGTAATTTTTAACTAACAGCTCTAAAATATTATTTTTTGAACGTAAAACAACAATGTATTATGTTATTATTTTTAAACGGAAACCTGTATGAAAAATGCCATACATAGATGGAGTTTTAGATTAAATACATTTTGGTGTTGATATTTTTATTATCCATTAACCTGTTGAAGAGATATTGCACTTTTAAATATGGGTAGAGGGAGAGTAATAGAGCATAATTTGTGTGGCGGCATGGCGTGCGGCGTTTAAATACTGTTCCACTTCTTTCTCCCCACCAATACTTAAAAAAGGAATTTCTCATCAACCCGTTGATGAAAATTAAAAATATCAAAATCAAAATATATTTTAACTAAAATCTAGTCTATTTGTGGTATTTTCAATTCTGAGCAAAGCGATGAATGTCTTTTATAATGATGTTTTTTTTTCTTCTATCTGTTAACAACTTTTCTACCAGAAATCTTGCTCTGATTTTCAAGTATAGTATTTTTCCTAAAAAAATTTTTATCCGAGTGCTACTTCAAGGAAGTATTTGTTAAAATAAAAGTTATCATTAATTAATAACTGTTTTAGATTCTGAGCGTAGCGAGCAGTTTTATAATGACGTTTATTTTATTATATTTTTTTTATTCTGTAAATAGTTTTTTACCAAAAATCTTGCTCTGATGGTACTTATTGGTACTTTAAGGAGGCCGTTTTTTTAATTTTCCAAGCGGTTTTCATCGAAATATGAAAAAACGAAAATTTACGAAATGTATTAAATTCAGTTTTATTTTTTTGTTGTGGTTCAGTTAAAAATATTCGTAGAGACTTGATATTTGAATATAAAATTAAAATTTGCATTTTTTAGACGTGGTAAAATTATCAAAACACGTAAAACCGAACTCCACACAGAATTGTTTTTCGTTAGCAATGATTAATCGTTGCGTGCAGGTGTACATTAAATTTCCCATTATATACTACCTTCTCACCTTCAACAGTGGTCCTCTCGTGCAGGATATCCGTACTTCGCATATATTATGTATTGCAGTTTAAAAATCAAAAATGGGTAGTGGATACACAATATTAAGAATTAAAACCCGTACAATGGTAATGTAAACAATTTTGGATCCGCCCGTTTCGTAAATTGTCCGAAAGAAAATGCAAAACAAAATACTTAAAAGAGAACTATAAAATATAATTGAAACTTATTATGATGTCGAGATATTATACTATATTGATAAAACACTAACCGTAACATACACATGCGCGGATACACAACATTCGGCGCAAATCAGATTTAACAAGAATTCAGCGTTTATCAGCTGCGGGGGCGGAGTAGTAATAACTATTATAAGTGGATTATCGTGTGCAAGACGATGAATTATACCGACCGAGGGCGAGTTTAACTAACAGTTTAACGCGCGGTTTAACGACAATGTATTTCACTACCTATACATATCATACGACACGAGTATATATATATACACCTATAACCGTTTCGGGTCTTGGTAACTATCGCGGTCGCAGGACCGTCGTGTCGAATAGGGGCGAAACGATGGGGGCGGGGGGGGNGGGGGGGGGGGGGGGGGGGGGGACCGTCAAGTTTTCTCCGATTGTTTTTCACGCCGGACTGGGGCTATGCATACGCGCGCACACGCACGCAACAAACCGTTTACACCACGGCGATGGTCGTCGCGCGGCAACGGAACGCGCGGCCCCCGGCTCAAGTCCGCGTGTAATTACCGCGCGAGTGTAGTGCCGCTAGCCGCTCCCGGCCATTAATATACGACTGGCGCACCGAACGACATTAACAGCCGCCTTAGTGATTACAAAACGGATACACGGCGCAGCAAAAACCTGGCCATTATCGCGCGTTAACGCTATTAGCCCCGATGCAGACATTGTGCGGGGTGGCGGTGGTGCCGCGGTGAGAGGAATGGGTGAAGAGACGGCGGTGGCGGTTTCGATGACGGGACGAGGGCGGGAAAAGAGCGCCCGGTATACGTACAGAGGAGAAGTGACGGGCACGGAGAGAGGAGTTTAACCGCCGCCGCCGCCGCCACCACTGCCATCGCACGAGGCGCAAACCTGCAGGGTGACTGTATATATATATACCTATGTATTCTGTAGCCGATGCAGACCTATACGTATGCGTGTAATATTGTATAAGCGCAGTGATCCATAGAGGTGTGCACATGTATACAAATGTATATATATATATATATATGTATACGCGCGCACACGCGAGAGAAAAAAAAAAGGGTTAAACGGGAATGTCGAATCGATCGTTTTGAACAGAGGAGTTTATGATGTGAATATCCGGGAAACGAATAATATTGTGTATTATATCGCGATGTTGCGTAACTGTACACGCTGCGGAATTTCGAGAAAACGATTGTAATTAATTTCACCTCCGCCTATTATTTTGGATACTCGCGACGAAAACGAAACGCATTCTCTATATTGCCACGTACACACGCGCGCAATGCAATACACGGTTAAAACAAAACGACTTTAACGTCACGACTTTCGACTTGTTGTGACACGGCGACATTATTGACTTTGCTGCTGACATTTTATTGTTTTCCCGTTTAATTGCGTCGTCGTCGCGAGCATAATAAGAATAATAATAAGAAAACCAAAACGTTTACGTAACGTGAACCAGTAGCGCACGGCCGCGGGTTGACAACACAAGTCATGCGATCGCTGCACGATGTGTTCTCGAAGTGGTTGGACGACAGCGACGAACGCGGGAAAAGGTTTGGATCTGGGGGGGGAGGGGACAGAGTTCGAACCGTTTCCGAAACATAAATTACCCTATAATTTACACGATAAATCGATTTACAGCGATACACCAGGTGGAATGTGACTAAGATGTATTTTTGCGCTCGTCCCTGGGATTGGGTGTCGATTGCCGGTGTATAAACAGGTGTCACGCAGCCCTGCCTTAAGGGTTAAAAATAAAATAAAAATGTGGACGGATGATACTTTAGTTAACTGCGTGTAGTGCTATTAAAATCCCTGTGTGTTCTATATATGTATATCAAAATAAAAAGAATACAGTAAACTCTCGATAATTCAAACCTTCGATAATTCGAAACTTTAATTGATTCGAAGTAAATGCTCGGTCTAATGCATTCAAATTCGCTCGGTAATTCGGAGTAAAATATTGGGGAACTAGCTGCCAAAATGCGACAATTCGAAGTTTCATCCACTCAACTCTCTGCAATTCGAAGTGTATACACTAAAAACGTACTTCTTATAATCGTATTGTTAATAATTTACTATTGTGTACAAATCTGGCATATTATTCCCGATCACTATCGAATTATTGTAGGTACGTATATACGCAATACTGTATTGTTTTATAGTATTGAAAAAGGTGAACTAAGTTCAATGCAACAGAAAAAAATTACAGATTTTTCGAAAATAATATATCAATTATATTTTATATGCAAATCATTTTGTATCATTTATTTTACATACTTAGATTTTTTCAACTGTCAAAATCAATCGAATTGTTTTTTCCCCTCTCAATATTTCGAACCACTTAGTAATTCAAAATTATTCATAGTTAAGTCTCACCAAATTCGAATTATCGAGAGTCGACTATAAATATATATTTGTGTACATGCGAAAATGTGATTCTAAGCGAAAATTTATTAGTTTTAATATTTTTTTTTTCGTGTCTGTAAGTAACAGAAGGCTACCAGAAATCTTGTTCCAATCAAAAAATGACCACAGACCTTTTTGTTACATTTTAGATCTAACAAGTACATTGGTAAACCAAATTTCTTAAATTTTTCTAATAATTGAGAAAAACTGGCAAAAACGTGAAAATGTACAGTTTTATTAAGTATTTTCTATTTTCTATGTTAGCAGTAATTTAGTTCAAAATAATCATAAGCGGAATTTTTAATGGAATACTTGTATTTTCCTTTTATCGATATGGTAAATTTTTTTTAGTTATTTATTAGCATTTGAATTTTTCGAGTTTTTTAGTTTTTATTTGGTTGAATATGAATAAAATTGTTTGTTAAGTTGAACTTAGAGGACATAAAAAAGGATGATAGAGAGATTTTTGTATTTAAATGTCACGCGCCGCACCGTAATACAAATTGTACTCGACTAATCTCCAGTTAACTTACACAAATTTAAAGTGAAATATCTCGTCAACGGGTTGATGAATTTCAACTCCAAAATGAATTTAAACTAAAACTATTGTTATTCGAAAATAAAATCAAAAATGGATATTACGTGTTAACTAATTATGTGCATACACATTACACACTCAATTTATCTTTAAAAAAGATATCAAGTTATAATATACTAGATGATCCATTTAAGTGGGTACACTCATTATCTCGGAAAGTATTAACTTTTTTCGGAATTTGTTTTCTATAACATTTAAGAAACAAGGAGCTCTTATAGCTCATAGGGCTCATACATACAGCTGTATGTATTTGTGTGGCGTTGCATGTTAATAATGCACCACTACTTTCCTCTGACCCAAACTTAAAAGTGGAATATCTCGTCAACGGCTTGACAGAAATCAAAAATGTCAAGACTAAAATGCATTTTAACTAATACTCAATATTTTAACATAAATATAAAACTGTAAAGCTGCTTGTTTCCTTAATGTTCAAAAAAACAAATTCCGAAAAAAATTAATACTTTCCGAAATAACTATTAAATGGAACACCTGGTGTGTAATTAACTAGGCTCGGATCTAAGAACACTATAACATACTGAAATATGCACTATAATAATATAGACCTAAAGACTAAAGACTCTAAAGTACCCTAAAGACTAAAAACATAAAAAAATCGCGAAAAAATAGCACAAAAAAACTTTGAAAAGTAATACTAAAAATCTAAAATGATTGAATACGATAAATTAGCTATAAAATGAAAAATTGAAACTAACGAATCCATAATTATTGCATAGATATTATGATATATTTAATATTTTTAACTATTTTAAATTATAAAAAATATAAATTGAATGTTAAAGCAACGAAAAAAAATATCGAATAAATATTATATCACGATCAAAGTATTATTTTTGAGTTGGGTTGAAACATTACATAAATACACTTTTACGGTGTACCTATATTATCTGGTATAATGATACTAAAATTGACCGAGAACAATAGTTAAGCTAAATAATTATATTAAACGTCAATGTCATAATTTAATCATTGTAATTAAAGGACGAACTGGCCCAATTAAACAAAGTCAAAGCTTAAATTTAATCTCGTGCTATATACGCACTGATAATGCTATTCAACTTTATTATGCCCAGGTCGGGTACTGTATATTTAAACAAGAATCGAGCCGGGTCATTTCGAGCAGGGTCGAGCTTTTAAACATCAAAGAGTTACGACGAGACGAAATTATCGACTCGGGAAAACATTCACAAGTGCCACTTGACCTCTCCGGGAACCTCATTTTAACGGAGTATTTTTTTTTCGTTTAATTTATAAAAATGTAACATATACAACTCAACAATATTCAGCGACATTATATAATAGCGAAATATTCTATTCAGCAGAATTGTGTATAAAAAAAAAAAAAACAAGAAACTTTAAAATTACGTTTAAAATAATATTCTCTTGTAGATGTATAATTAACATAATAAAATAATTGAATTTTATAAATCTTTATTACCACTATATTATATATTATATTATACTAAGGAGACGCATGGGCGCCCATAGGTGAAATTTCACGGAGGGGCAAAATAAAAAAATTCTCTAATTGTATACGCAATGAAAGTTTAAATATAAATTTAATACAATTATTAGTTAATATTATTTTTTCAGGAAGGGAGGGCATGTACCCCATCTTGTCCTATCCCCATGAGTGCCCATGAAGCGATGGTATTATTCGAATGATTCAACGAAGGCATTTGAATATTCGAAATTGTAATCCTACGATACGAATATTATAGAATTAGTGTAGATCCCTAATAATTCATATGACAAAATCATTATAAATTATTGTACGTTACAATAATATTTTATATTCTGAGTGGAGCGAGGAATGTATTGGTTTTACAATGATGTTTTTTTTGTTTTACTTACATAATGTACAATATATACTTTTACCGAAACAAGAAATTATAAAAATTAGAAGCACACTTGAAGGAATAAATATATTTCTAATTATACATATATTGATGTATGTTTACGTATATGTTTACGATTGAAATACCTAATCGATGAAACCAATGTACATATGTGTATATATAGATTTTATATACAGGAATTACCAATAAAACCTAGGATATGAAAAACAGTTTTGCGAAACCCCGAATGATATTTGTAGTTCGGACTTTTACGAATGATATTTGGCTTAGGATAAATAATTCGTGTTTATAAAAGTCCAACATTTCATTTTTATGTCTTAAACGTGTGGTTTTTTCCTTCGCTTTTGTACTCATAAAACCGTATATTATTACTGTATTTTACGTTAGTTATAAGTTTACATTACTATTAAATATTATTAAAAAAATTGAAATAATTATTGTATATTAGGTACATAAAAACATGCCAGAAAAATGACAATATCAAATAAACAAAAGTCAAATGTATTACTAAGTTAATCAAAGAAAAACTGATGTCCAAAATTACTTGCTGTGGTGTTACACATTTTGGTTGGAGATATTTATTGCCTGGTACAAAAGGGGGAACACTTTCTCAACTTTCGGTCACTATATGAAGACAATTTGTTAGAATCGGCAACTATTCCAGAAAATGAAATTGGAATTCGACAAGTGGTATCGCAACTCTCCTTGATGGATAAAGAGTAATATAACGTGCAACTGTATGAAAATTTGTATGACAAGTCTATGTAAATGTCAAAACAAATATATTATGCAATTCAACATGTCACAGTAGTCAAGTCAGCCACAAATAAATAATATGTTTTGTAATTAAAATATATTACCTATCTAATAAATAATCAATTTATTCAATGAGATTTAATAATAATGTACATTTATAATTAACGTATAATATTGTACGAGTAATAATATACGGATGTAAAGCATGAAAAGCAAAACCGCACGACAGGCAGAAAAAAAATTGTAATTTCGTACGTTTCCCAACACTAATTGTTTTTCCTAAGATTTACCAAATCTCTTTCGGACCAAAGTCCGAACAACAAATTCGAGGTTTTAATCAAACTTTATTTTGTGTCCTAGATTAGGTACATAATTACATATTTATATGAGTATAGCATAACACTATTTATTCCACCAATATTGACGTTAAATAATTACAATTTTATAATAACAAATTAATTTTAAAAATTCCCTTTTATAGAATCTCTCGTAAATAAAAAGTTAATTTTTATTTGACTATGTGGTTAATATTTATTTAAGTTACATACAGGTAAAATTGATTATATTGAACATATAGTATAGATAAATAAAACCTTTACTTAACTTATTCTATATATAATAATGTGTTTAAAAAAAGGAAATTACATTTATTTAAAAATGATCCCCAAAATTAAAATTATGTATATTTAAATAAATATATAGTTTTTGAGATAAAAAAGAATGCGAGAGGTATGAAAAATTACTTGATATATAGATATACTATTTATTTATAATAAATATTAATAATACTAGCAAAAGACCTAAAAACGATTTATTTATACAAAACGTCAAAAAAAATTTTTTTTTTTATATTTGGTCTTTTTTCCGTGAGATATTTAAATTAAAATACGTATAAAGTGTCCACAAGATTGGTAACATAACAAAATTAGTTCACATCCATCAAAACCTGGTGATTTGGACCTTTAAAAAAAAAAAAAATTCCACCTTATTACCTTTTAAGCAGCTCGTGTGCTCGTCTTCTATACAATATCCGAAGGACAAAGGGAGGAGTTATATATAATCTGATTAACGAGTCTCAAGGGTTGATCCGGGCCCGGGCTATCAGTCAAAAGATGTTGGCCGACAATGACTTGGACAGAGCGAGAGAGGGTGTCCTTACTCGGGATAAATGCTTCATCAGTCATTACCAGGCAGCCACACCCTCGGAGGGGTAAAAAAATAACAACGGAACCCTTTATCTGCCAGCTGCACAAATTTCGCTTTAAATTGTCTTTAAAAAACTTTTCCTGTTTTTTCTTTTTAACGAATTTCTAACCCATAATTAAAATACTTATAATTTTTAAATATGAGATTATAAAAATAAACCATTTCTCGATTTAGTTTAGCAAAAATATTAATTTAAATTTATTTCACGAACAATATAATTATTACGCAATAAATCATTCGATATTAAAAAAAAAATATTTAAAGAATTTAAGGATGGACATTATTTATACAGTATTTTAAATAATTCAGAACTTAAATAAAAGAAAATGTTTTTCTTTTTAGCATTTGCCAGTATGTTTGAATAACAATAATTTCGCGTAGTTATTTTAACATTGAACGTTACAAATTAAAAAATTAATATAAATCAGAAATCATAGTAAAAATGTTTTCAGAAATGTTGACTTGGAGTACATCTTTAAAAAAAAACAACAGACAAGTTCAGACTTTATATTAATACATATTACAAAGCACGAGAAAATAATAATATACCTACAAATACTAAATTTCATTCTATTAGAAAATAAAATAAAACAAACTATACCTATTAATTATTATCATACATTCTATTGGCATAAAAGTCATATTAATTTAATATAAATATTGGAAAAAATGTCAAATTATCTAAAATTAAAAACAACAATTATTGTAATCATGTTTATTATTATTTACTACTTAATACGTGTATAATCTACATCGTATAATAGATATCTATATAATAATAATATGGGCACGGGGCTTATAAAAAATCGGAAAGTCAAAACGAACATAATAATAATGTTATTCCATTAACGTAAATTAAATGCTTAGAAATTTATAAAATTACCTATACGACTACATCGCAACATTGATATTGTGAAAATTAATTCTGAAGAATAACTCGAATTCTTATTATTTTCGATGACTACTATTTACTATTACAATATCATATACCTGTATGGATAAATAATACATTATTATACTATTTTAAAAGTGTAAGTGTGGATATTATTCGAACCGAATGGGTGATTTTTGTCGGGATTGAAACATTAACGATCTTTGAATAATTATTATACATTCAACGTATTTAAACTGACTTGTCTTCTAATAATAAAACGCATTAGTTTTGATGAGGCGTAATATAACAAATTAGGTAACACTATGGTAATATTTTTTTTTATACAAACGCATACTATTATAAATAAACGACCAAGTGACTCTGTGCGCCGGAGATAAGGGTGGGCGAACGGAACTTCGCGCTTCGTTAAGTGGCGGCCCACACTCGATGGCCGATTATAAAAAACAAAAAAAAAAAACAATATCAATTAATCGAGCCACTAATCTGCTATTCTATACTCTCACAATTATTAATAATTAACGTAAACATAATATTTATTAGGTAGCATAACGGTTGTATGCCCATCACACGTCAGTCATTAAAATGTTTGAAACCAAATAGTGCAAAATATTTATGAAGAAAACTTTTTACATACAAATTTTAATGAAACAAAACGTTTTATTACGTTGTTAACATTGAAATGATCATTACTACGTATAAAAAATGAACACCGACCAGGAGATAGACTAGAATACAAACGATTACAAAAATCAACTGACAATAATGATATATTGCGCGTAAATCGCAATAATCACATTCGTTTGATAAAAATTAACTGATTGCAATGACCAATATACATTTCTGATGAACATTTACAATTTAAGAAACTTAGTGCACTACCTACCTATATAAGACATATGCATCGTTCGGAGTTAATACAAAAATAAATTATAAATATATAGCCTATTTAATTTTTAAAAATTAATTTAAATTTTGATTTCCTAAAAGTTTTAGGACTAAATGTTCCTATTTATTGTTCCTAAATTTCTATGTTGATATTTTATGTGACGGAGTTCAGCTGAACTATTTCATGTACACGAGAGTCCACTTAAATTGGTGATGACAGAATTCATTATTATAGTTATTAAACATGTTCAAAATATTTCTATATTTGGTTGTTGAGATACTTCTGATTGTAATACACATCTATACATTCATGAATCATGATTCATAAGTATATTTATTACATTGAATAGGTTTTATGTATGGTCTATATGTAATAGTTTATTAAATAGAAGTTAAATATAATTTACCTATTTGGGCTATCAGTATTGTTTCTTTTTTTTTATTATTTTACTTAAATCTCATTTTTTTTGTGCCCTACTTTATAATTGTTGGCCTCCTATCGGCCCTACCTAAAAAAATTGTGGCGCCGCCGCTGGTATCAATTCGTTGATATCGTTGGCCAACCAACACATAAATGACTACTAATCGTGATGCAATACGATCGGTCGAAAGTTGCCAACGGTACACGAAAACTCGTAAATTTAGTAGTTTAAGTCCTAAACCGAATTTTCCCAAAAAAGAGACCCGGATCACAGATAAATCCATTGTGCCTCGAAATCTTTAAATACTTTAAATACTTTTGGAAGATCCCACAGTTAAAAGTGAAAAGTGCATAGGTATAGTAAATATAATATTGTAATATTATATTGTACAATTTTATTATTTTTCGTGTCATATAATTAAAATTAAATATGTGATATATTATGTAACTTTTCATAAAAACCGTTTCTTGATTCTTACAAAAACAACTATTATTGTTGAGAAGAAATAACAAAATAGTGCCACAATAATCTTATGAAGTTATTTATATATACTTAGATATACGCATGATTAGTGCCTAGTCATACTATTTTTATCAGTCTGTTATCAGTAATAATTGGATCATTTGGATCCGAATAATAATTAAGTATCATTAAAAACACGCATAATATTTTTTTTAATGAGCATATTTTATAAAAAATGGGAGTGTTTTACAAACTAAGATGTAAATAGTATTAAATAGGAGTGAGCTACCTACGCAAATGAGATTTTTAGCAATGAAATCTAAGAATTTAAAATGTAGAATATCAAAAAAAAGTTTAAAGTTACTTTACATGACATTTTTATATTTGTTTGGATCCAATCACATTTGAAAAGGACTGTTAGGTATTACATAATCTGATATCACATTAAATTGCGCGTATTCCTGGCTGACTACTGTATTTTTTTCTGACCGATCAAAGCGATACACAAGAAAACAACTTTTGATCGCGTTGCGTTCATATTTTTTTCATAATATACCTACGTATGATTTAGAAAAATCTAAGTAAACATTTGGAATTTCCGGATTTCACTATTATTTATGAGTAACAATCAGTAGCATAATATTATCAGTAAAAGCATTGATGATAAAAATACTTCTTTACTATTTACTAATAGTCGCTACATTTACTACACAATTTACTATCACTGGTAAACGTTTATTTATAGATCACTTTCTAAAATCAGCGATTGCTATAATATTATTTATTATTGTATTTTATTATGTTATTAAATAAAGTGTCTTGTTTTACTTATCGAAGTTGTTTGATATTTGTGATATATTTGGTAAAACAAATAAATATTTAAAATCGAATAAACTACGAAAACCCGTTGTAGGGTATAACGTTCAAGAGACGTATAATGTAACTGACAAATCTCGAAATACAAGACAAAAATAAAAAAAATCTGTTAGACCAACTTACTATAATGACGCGATTGTATTATTTATGTATGTAAATATATTTATACGGGAAATATTTTTAATAAAAATTCGATAAAAACCAAAATAAACTATACGCGGTATTGTCTACAGAAATTCTATAACGACTCGCGTAATGTTTATATTGATGGTTTTGTGTTTCCCAAACAACTTTAAGTAGGTAGCCTATATAGTTGACTTTACACATAATATTAATAATATTATGGTATTTTCGTATAACTAAATAACAATGTATAAAGGGATTAAACTATTACACAGGTACGTATAAACTACGTACCTACCTATAAACCTACCTAGATGTAACTTAGTTTTTTTTTATCATTCTTGTTTGATGATATAATCAGACTTTCCCATTTATCTCTCTACACAACAATGTGTACCGAAGACATAAGCCGCCTTACTATTAATACACGCAAACTATTCGCATAAAGGTGTTCTGGATACTGCATTACGCGGTACACACGATGCAGTATTATATTGCTATTATAATATTATATAGCGGTAATTATTGGGACATTGTTCGGAAATTTCCGATTAATTAGTTTCGGAATAAATATTTTCCGCGGAAATCTCCGTTAAATGTTCAACTTTTCAACTATACCCTAATATTATATTGTATTATTTGACCGAATATCTCGATACACGACGACAATGAACGCATTAAATGTCACTAGTGCGCGTGAATAGAAATTAAAATGTAATACAATGCGTTTATTGTAACCATCGCTGGTTTATTGTTCGCATGTCTGTTTATTCGTACCGAATAAATACCATATAAATATTGTGTATGTATGTATAAAATAATAATAATATAACAGCGTCACTTTGTAATATGTGTTTAGTTTCGGTTTGCACGAATTGATACAACTCAGATGTTTAGTATTATATAAAAAAAATTAATTAACCGGTTAGCCATTTAACACATTTAATTAAAATTGAATTTAGTCGCGTTTGTTACGAGTGCAATTCAATCTACAGAAAAAAAAAAAAAAATGAATTCAGAACTACGCTAATGCTTTCGGTTTTTAAATTAATGTTCCAACCCTTCTATATAAATACGCAGACTTTTATTTAATATATGTATAAAAAAAAAGGTACAGGTTATAACCGCAAAAAACAGTAATAATAATTTTNTATATAAATACGCAGACTTTTATTTAATATATGTATAAAAAAAACGTACAGGTTATAACCGCAAAAAACAGTAATAATAATTTTCGTCAAAATAACAATACACGCCTATTAAAATTCTTATTCCCTTGCTTAAACGGAATACGGAAAAATACAATATGTTTTGTAGAGTTCTATAGGTTAGTGCGGTTTTAAGGTAAATACTTGAATTTTGAACTGTAAACATTTCAGATCGATATCTACGAAACCTATAGAGGTCCATTTTCATCGAGCAAACAAATTTCGTTTCGAACTTTATCATTGCCGATAAAAGATAAAACTCTATACAATATAAAATCAAACGTCCCAAATGTTGTCGGGGACGTATTTAGGGAGAGGGAGGACTTGACTCCGGGCGTTATAATCCTTTAAAATGTGGTAAAAAAAAAACCGTTTTTTTTTATATACTAACCCAGTGCACACGCTCAGCAGGGCCTAAAATAGTGTGTTTGGATAAAAAAAAAAACGTGCAGTACAAAACGACAAGTGTACAGCTTGAAATTCCAGTGTTGTAAAATAAAAACAAAATTGTTCTTATGAAAGGGCGCTAAAAGAACAGTGTTCTAGAGTGCTAAAAATCTCTGACGTCTTTGAATGTTATCGCGGAATATAATAAATAAATAATAATATTTTGTCCGTGCGGTGCGTATGTTCCGACGAAAAAACGCGTGTAGCAAATTTCATCCCGATCAAGTATGGTGAGAAGGAGGGGGGGGGACGAGATTTTAAATATTATTTTGTGAGCGTCACGATGGGAACGGTCAACGACGATCTCGTTTACGACTAATAAATTAAATCTCACAACAGAAAAAAAAAATAAATATCGGTTTGCTTCGACATAATAATATAATGACTGTACAGTGTAAGTGTACTTAGGTATTATGTAGTATATTTAGACTCAATACAAGAAAGCAAAATTCTTTACGATTTTTATTGCTGTATTTGTGTAAAAGGGGGCAAAAAAAAAAAAAAGGTACCTTAACGTTGTTCGGTACGGTGCAGTGTATAGGTATAATAGTATACATGTATAGGTAGTATACTGTCGTCGTTGTCAGAATAAAACGCACACATTTCACGGTTTATATTATTGTTGTAGGTCTTTTGACACGTATATATTTACAACTTTATATCGAGAAAAAAACTCGTAAACGAAAAAAAAAAAAAAGAACTCGACCTTGGAGCGTTTAACATTATTTCGTTCAGTGCCGTTTGTTAAAAAGGTCTTTTCAAAATACGTACATACTATAACACAATATTATTATGCTAGTAATCTCCAGTTTACAAAAATTCTACAAATAATAATTTTCCGATTTTTACGCAGGGGGTGTGCCCGAGAACGAAATATATTAATAAATATGGACCGCGATCCGATTGTAAATATAAATTTTTATTAAAACGTGATAATTTAATTTAAAATAACGATAAATTCGTTTCACGTGATTTACAACAAAATAATACATATTTTATTTTACATATTATTTTAATCACATTTTTCGTCATAAATACCCACATAGAATTTTCCCATTGTTTTGTAACTTCCGTTTTTGTTGTACATCATAATTCGTAAATTTAGTTTTAAGCACTGAAAACTAAAATAATTTGTCATTTCATATCAGATATTTATTGATATTTAAAAAAATTTATCTCAACCGCCTTAGATCTATTAGACAAAATTATACATAAAATGGACAGAAAAACAGATATGAAAATGATTGGATTTATTACAACGATACTTGCCGAACCTACTGAAATAAAAAGAAAATAATGCACCTAAAACATTTCAAGCAAAAAAAAAAAATCGATTTTTAATCAATATTAAATACCTAGCTGATAATAAATTCTATAATACATAGGTACTCGTGCTTTTTTGTATCATATATAAATCCCAGCCCTAACATTAACTTATTTTCAAATATGATGTTTTATAAATAAATAAGGTACTGTTCAATTACAGCTGAAAACCAATTTCAAATCAATATTGTGAGTCTGTTTATTTATGTGTGTTTTAATAACCTACTTAAAACAAATAAATCAAAGCTTAAATTATAGTGCGCAGAATTGACATAACCGCGCCAGAATAAAATTTGTTTATTAGCTGATTTGGAAAAAATGCAGGTATTTTTCTACATTAATTAAAATACGTTTGTACTGATACAGTAAATATATACCCACATCAACAATAAATATTGAATAGATCTATAATTTGTATTAAATTTCTTTATTTTTTTTTTTTTTTCTGAAAACAATTCGATGTCAAAGAGTACAATATTATTTACTTTTCCACCTACCTAATACCTATCTATTCAAATGAACTCAAATAAATTCGAAGCGTTCGTTTCATAATTCGGTTATTTTTGTTTTCTACATAAAGAGCAACTTGTGAAATCACAAATTATTCAGATACGGAGGGGGAGGTGTCTCACAATTTAAGTAGTTTTTTTTAACTGTACCTACCTATAATAATATATGAATTTAATCAGTTCGCGAATAATGTTAACTAAAATAGGGAAAAAAATTAAAAATTAAAAATCTACCGAAACTATAGAATATGTTACCTTGCGTCAAATAGTAATGTTAAGACGTGCAGCACCTACTAGTACAAAAATAAAAAAAATGATGTAAGTACCTACTTACAATAAAATATGAATACATTTCTAAATTAATGAATGTTTATAACATAGCAATCAATAAATAAAAAAAATTATTATTGTAAATAGTATACAATTACTTATATAGATCACCTGACGATACTCAAAATATACCTATTTTAAGAGTACCTAAGTTATAAGTGGTACAAAATAAATATAATAGATTATAGGTAATCGTTTAAAATTAAAATTAAATTCGTATGTTTATAATACACGAGGATAGTATTATAATTTTTAGATTCTGAGCGGAGCGAGGAATGTATTGTTTTTACAATGATGTTTATTTTTATATTTTTTTTCTATGAACAACTTTTCTACCAGAAAATTTAATCCGGTTTACAATAATAGCACTTTTTCCAAAGGAAATCTGCTTGGGGTGAAACTATAGGGAGGTCATTTTTTCCTCGAGGGTTTTCAAAATAAATAGGGAAACCTGGGAAAAAAGGAAAAAAATACTAAATGTATAATTTTCAAATCATAAATATTACGGCCGTTCAAAACATTTATAACCAAACTCCACTCAGAATCCTTTTTCGTTAGCAATAATAAATCATAGCGCGCACATATACATTAAATTTCCCTGTACCTTCCCAACTTCTTACCTAAAACAGTGGCTCACCCATCGTGCGAAGTATGCCCATTTGTTTATTTTTTTTTGTTTCACACGGAATTTTCGTTACTATAAATATTAAATTGATTTTAGATTTTCTTTTTCAAAATTAAACGATATACCTATATAGATAATTTTATAAATCCTAAAAAACTTAGTACATTATGTCTAAAATGTAGAACGGATGTGTATGCTTGTGTATTGAGTTGAAGGAATTACGTACAGATTCTAAATTTTGCACATAGTGGACAGATAAGGTGGATTTCTCACTTATATATATATATATTATTACATTATTACATATTATGGGTGAAGTTAAATTTGAAAATTTGATTTATGACAATTTTTTTTTTTTATCAATTTCAATTTCAATTAGGGAAATCCAAAAGGAAACCACAGTTAATATCGATAAAGAGAAAACGTTTCTAATAATGTTATTTTTTATGTAGATTCCGATACATTATTTTTAATGCGTTGCTTAACTTTATTCAAGGATATTAACATGGTTTTTTCGGTCAACGATTGGCGGGAATACTATAACCTATAGGGGTACCTATTAAACAAAAGTAAGGAATAAATCTACAGTGCATATCCAGAGTTAAAACTGTTCTAAACAATATGTCAAACTAATGAAAATATTGTACAATCGAAAAAATTATACCTATTATAGTTGACCGCAATGTCCGATAACCCCTATATAATACCTACGTCATAATATTATATACAAATGTAAATCTAATCCAATTATGTACCCTCTCATTTGAATTCGTTATTATTTTATATAGAAAAAAAAACCACAGGTAGATACATCAACTGGCACAGATATCATTTTTAATGTATAGGTAAATTAAAAAAAAAAAGCCCATTCTAGTGATAGGTGTACCGTTGTTGTATAGGTAGGAAGTTGAGAGTAGGTAGGATACGAAAAGTTATTTAATTTATATCCGTAGATAACGATAAACCATTGCTGACAAAAAACGATTCTAAGCGAAGTTCGGTTACACTGCATATAACTTATACACGTTTCGAAATACCGTACATTCTACGAATTATGTCAAAATCTGTTCTTAAAACGCTTTTAAATAAATAACTACTACATTACAATCAACTTTTTTTTTCGACCATTATACTAAACTTGTATAAATGAACCACGTATTAAATGTTCAGGCAAAACAATTTANGTCAAAATCTGTTCTTAAAATATGTCAAAATCTGTTCTTAAAACGCTTTTAAATAAATAACTACTATATTACAATCAACTTTAACTACTATATTACAATCAACTTTTTTTTTTCGACCATTATACTAAACTTGTATAAATGAACCACGTATTAAATGTTCAGGCAAAACAATTTAATCCGCATAAAAACTAAAAAATTTAAAATTAGCAAACGTAAAATATCTATAAATAGCTCAACATTTGTCAGAATGTTTTTTAAAATTTGACCACGTCTTGAAAATACTAGCATAAATATACTGTGAACATTTCAGCTCTATACGATTAGAAACAATAAAAAATCAAAACTCGAAAATAATGAAACCGTTAATTCATACTTTTATTTCTGATTATTCGAAACTATTATGAAGACTGTTAGGAAAATCAAAAAAAATTAAAATTGGCATATTTTTACAACGGGATTTAATTTTGTTTTTTCAAATAATCTAAATTAAAGTTAAAATTACATTTTACGACTATTTATTTTCTGTATCTTCGAATTTCAATTACGGTCATTCGAGTATAGGTACCTACAATTATTCAAATTTCAAGACATAGATAGGTACCTAATGATAATGAAAAACTAGGTAAGTACCTACTCAAATCGCCTACTTTTCGTATACATTTTAATCGAATTTTCATAAATGAAACGGAGTAAAACGAATAAATTATAAAAATAATTAATTATTTTAAATGTAGCAAAATACCTGACGAACAATTGTTCTTGATTGTTGACCCTCCAGGAGACTACAGTAGCACCTGTAAAAATAATTAAAAAAGGAAACCAAATTAATAAAATGTATAAAAAAAAAAAAAGCAAAAAAGTAAAAAGTACACAGGACAATAGCATATAATACGTAGGTATTAATTTATTTATTTTTTTTTTTTTTTTAAATATATATCAAGGCCAGTCGTGTCCGGTGAAATTATTATTATTTTTCATTAAACAATTATATCGTTCCGACCACAATAATAATTATGACTGTTCGGTCTTATCGATCTGTAGCAGTGTACCAAAGTGCAATTTATTATTAAATGCTTACCATGCAAGTTGATCGTGCATGTTGTATTGTTTCCTCTGTCGAGCACGACGACGCTGGACGCGGGAGCTGCCATCGCGGATGCCGGTCAAAACACAAATGATACGCGTTGATAGCGAGCGAAATCCAGGCCGCCTCGGGCCAGTGGCCCGCGTTATCAGTAATCGCGCGACGAATCAGTGCTCATCGCTTGGCACCTGACTGTAAACAGTGACAACCGCCGGTACCAACCACCCCGCCACGGTCCATCAGTGTGACCACGGGTGCAGATCGTTGGACACGGTAATATGTACGATGTGCGTGACCGAATAGCGAGTGTTGATTCGAATATAATTACCTACGATGTTTGACGCAATACGCAGGGTCATATTATATTTATAGGACACTGTGGGATATTTTCACCGGGGTAGATTGACTCACAGAGAATTCGGCAATTTTCCCGATGAAATGGACACCATAGGCGCCATTTCACATTTGTTTACGGTATGCAAAACGAATATTGAAAATTCAATAGTAAAGCCGCTCGCTTTGATCGCGTACCACATAATGGACAAAATGAATACATTTACATATAAAATTACATTTTTCAATTTATCATAACATATTATTATTGATTATTCAATTATTGAAATTGAAAATACCTGCAATATTCAATAACCTATTTCACTATAGGTAGTATAGTATAGTATGGCAAGACCGTATACAGGGAGAGTTCGGGGTTCAACCCTCCTCGAAATTTTGAAAATAATTATATATATAATACAACAAAGACTAACTAAAAATTCATGTATAATAAATATTTAACTCCCCCCCCCCAAAAAAAAAACATTGATTCTGAAAACGTACGTGTAGTAGGTATAGTATAGTATAGTATAAGTGTTTTAAATAACCATAAATGAATTGAGTATGAAGAAAGGTACTCATTTAACTCATTAATACTGTTAGTATGAATATTACTTATATATTTTTTAATAGTAAACAAATTTAAAAAAACTGTCCCATAATAATACCAATTAATAATTAATTACCAATACCTACTTAATATTCTATTATATTATTTATGCTGTGTTTATGTCTTTTTGATATTGATCAAATTAAATTTGATAAAAACAAAATTGAGCAGTAACGAAATAAGTGCTAATCTATAGGTAATTATAAGAAACTTCAGCTTCATATCTATGTGATTATCGCTAAATTATTGTGATGAAACCACAAAAAAATATTTTTGAAAAATTTGTAAAATGATTGTATTATTCTGAAAATTCTATGAAATTGTCTTCATCTACATGTTTTATATGTGCTAAAAGAAATTCATGATGGGATGAATTTTCATACCCTTATATCCTGTAAATGCTTGTAAACACCTCTGTTATAGGCAATAATTCAAAATTAGAATACTTATTATCAATTAATTTTTGTTACATATACTACCTAGGTAGGCATCTTATACCAAAATCACTACCTACAGTTTCTATAAATTTCCCACATTAAAATGTGTTCTGGCATTCTATTAATACGCCCTTGATCCACTCATCCACCACTGACAAATAACAAAAATCTGAACAAATTATTTAGTTATTATTATTATTTGTTTCCTAAGTATCAATTTGGTCATGAATATGTCTTGAATATTGATCTACAATATTCAAAATGACCTCAATATTTATTTCGGCCATATACCTACCGTAAGATAAAATTGTCATTGAAAGAAAATACAGTCATTTAAAAAATAGTTAAAACATACTAGTAAAACATTTGAAATTACACGGATCCTATGAATTACTAAATCAAGGTCACACATATTGGATATATAGAGTGATCAATTTGTCGTATGATACTCTCATTTTCTTGGAAAGTATTAAATTTTTTCGGAATTAGCTTTTTAAAACATTTAAGAGACAAACAGCTCTATAATTTTACACTTATGTTATTTTTTTCGTCACCTATATTTTTGGGGGTAAAATTATTATTTCCCTGACACGAACTTAAAAGTGGAATATAATCGCTCGTCAATGGATTGAAGGAAATCAAAAATGTCAGCACCAAAATGTATTTTAACTAATACTCCATCTATTTATGAAATTTGTAATAACGATGCAATTTTAAAATCAAAAAAATGTATAGCGGTTTACCTCCAAAAATAAGAGTAACAAAATATAACATAATGTAAAACTGTAGAGCTGTTTGTTTCTTAAATGTTCTATAAAACAAATTCCGAAAAAAGTTAATACTTTCCGAGATAATGAGTATCTTATCTCTTTCGACAAATTGATCACTCTGTATAGGTACGAAACGAGCGAGTGACGAATGACATGGCAATATTTACATTAACTCAGGGACGGACTGGCACTCCGGGAATTATTACGAAAGATATACACCGCATAGATTATAGAACATGTCACTATCTAAGTTTTGGAATATTTGTTTTTATTATTTTTAATGCGAATAATATCTGGTCGGGTGTCTAAAAATTAACTTCGCGGAAAAGTCTTCGGCGGCGTTCCGATCTACGGACTTTGGGGGTTCGAATGGCGAATGTTACGAGAATTCACTCCGTTTGGGTTTTCACTAATATATATTACATATTTTGTCGTTTTTGTTCGTAGAATAATACTATCACATTATCCACGAAAATAATGGTTTCTGAAAATATATTTATAGCTATAGGTTATAGTTTCCCGGTAATTTTATTAAGACCTTACTTCTCGGGAAACTGTCCCGCGGTCATCTACTCTAACAAAGAGCCTATAATGTTTACTCTGATCGTATTCAACCGCCGTTGCCGAGAACCTAACCACGTCGATTTACAATCTAGAAAGTAAAAACGTTTTGCAAAATCGACGTTATAAAATGAACGTGCAAAATACACGTTTTTACTCCCTTATCAGTGGCGTATTAGGAATTTGTCACGGGGAGGGTCCAGAAAATGTTTAGAATACAGAGCCGTGGGGGATCCGTCCCCGCCTCCCCCCCCAATTACTCTTTATTAATTAAATATACCATATCGTCGATGTAAAATGTTTGTATTACCACGGCAACTTGGCGATTACACTGAATGGAATACTAAAACATTTAGGTTAAGATAATATAAATTACCTATCTACAAAAATAACATCCAAAAACAAATTACACAACATTTTATTTTATGATTACAAAACAAAATCTAATCGCCTAGGACTAAGCACCATTTCGTCAATAATAGCGTCCACATTGAGTGGTATGTCCCGACGAATTGACATCAATGCCAGTCCATTTAGCCTATCCTAAATACAAAACAAATTAAAAATATAGTTAGGTTTTAACTTTTATAATAAATATTTCCTAAATACATTATTTCATTCATAGTTGATCCAAGATAAGTTTTTAATCTTTTTAAGGTTGAAAAAGATCTGTCTGGAGAAGCTGTATCTATAAGCAATATACAACAAATTTATGTTTGGAAAATCTGTTATCTGTCTTCGAACAGCTCATAAGTGCATCTAATCCACTTTTAGTATTGGCATCTCCATTGCTTATTTTAATTTTTCAAATTTTCAATTCTACAAAGAATTATTCCATTCAACTAGTTGTAAATAAAATTAATTAATTTTTATAAAAATAGAGCGTTTTTAAAGTGAGCGGTTGTTCAATAACCAATAACTCGGTATTTATCAACCATGTTTGGTACCATATTGATAACAAAAAAAAAAAAATAACGATATTAATTAAACATTTTGATAACTGAAGCGTTGAAAAATTCTACAAAATACTTCGTATCGCATGATAAAATTTGTTTATCTTAATCATATAGAAACACAAAATTTAACATGTACGAGTCAATGGGAGGGGTCCGGACTCCATGGATTCCCATTTCCCGTAAATATGCCACTGTCCCTTGTAATAATTATTTCATGCACGGGTGTGAAAGCAATTTCAGTAGATTAAACATCTAAAAGATAACAGAAAGCGCCACGCCAATTACTTACTAGGGGCTAAATAAGCCGTGTTTAAATATAATATGAACTATTCGGCAGTAAATGTATTTCTTATGAAATAATAATCATTGCAATTGCACATTGGAACCTACTCAACCAAGTTCAATTAATTTATTTTACTAGGTACACAATTATTATGTACTTGTTTTGCAAAATTATCTTGCTTAAAGAATTTTCATAATAAATGTAAACATATTCTTCATAATATGTGTATTGTGGTCGCATTATTGAATTCAAAATATTTACCCCTACTCCCATATAGAAAAATCCCGGTTGGTACACTGCTGCTGCCGGCCGCTAGACCACTACCACGAATTGAGATATACATCTTAATCCGTGACCACTATTACCTATACCTATCTAATAATAAATTGCCCGGACGGCCGGTAGTCTTATCAGTTATGTGCATTTTATTATTTTTTCGAATAGTTCTATGTCCAGGCACAGATATATAGATTTATTATTATAATGTGGCTAATTACGATTAATAACTGTGTGTTCAGCAGACTGTGATGTAGGCACGGACGCAGGACGAGATTGTTGCGGATTTGTAATTACAGTTTTGTGGGACTGATGCGGCGCGCCAATGCGCCATAGATAGTAAATACAAATTTCCATTTATGCGTCGCGCTACTGTGCGTGATAAGAGAATGTGTTGTATTGTGTTTTGTGCACGAGCCGTGTAAACAAACCGATCGTTGGTGGGATAGACGCCGCCGACGAGATAAGGACGGCGCCGTAATATTGTTGTTACTAATTCCTTTAATAATACCTATTCCTACCGATTCATACCTACCTACCTGTGCGGCCCGCGTCGTGTTCCGTCGAATCGTCGAGACTCCCGCGCGTGTGGCGACCTCGGGGACCTTCTCGGAGCGGTCAGGGTAGAGTCGGCAGCAAGGCGTTCGTTAATAATTACCAGCGGTCGACCGGCAGTCCGTACGAAACCTTTCGCCCACTCTCGTTCATCGGTGCCGCTAGGTCGTTTCAGTTTTTTTTCGCGGTTACTCGATACTGCGTTTTGTTCTGTCCCGGCGGTAATTTCCGCGGCGGCGTCCGTCGCGAAACGGATAGAAGGGTAGGAGAGACGGCCTTACACCGAACGGTCATCGATTATTCATAATAATATTGTACTTACTGCATACTTACGTATACCGACAATAGAGGTTACTTCCATGTACCTATTATAATACCTACGCAAAGTTATTTCTTCGTATCGTCTAATAACTACCTCATTGGTAAGTTTCTATTATTTAGTAGCTTTTCATATTTACATTTTGTTGTCCTGTCCCCAACATCGTTCACCCCTACCCCGCTACCTTCCTCCCCCTTCGCCGCTGTGACCGTACCGTGATAATGTTTTTCATTGTTTGATAGATACTTACTTAGGTACTATACCTACCTGCACTTGTATTATAATTATACTTAATACCTTTATATTTGTTTGCCCCCACGGCAGATTGTTGTTTTCACAGCATCAACAGAACTGGATTGCTGTTGTTTACGACCCCGGTCTGAAAATACCATGATGAGGTTTGGAAGCAAGAGTTCGGCTAACGTGCCGATCAAGTGTACTGTCCGTCTATTAGACGACACTCAGTTATTGGATAGCGAGTTTCAGGTACATATATTTTTAATTAGTGTCTAATAGACTTTAATTTAAATAGTTGATTTGTTAATATTTAATATTTCATCTAAATTATTTTAATGTGAATTTTTCCAGAGATTTTGTCCTATGAATACTTGGGTCAGTTTATTTTTTTTAATCTATTGAGATTATTAAATATTTTAATATAGTATAGGTAGTATATACCTAGAAATATTTTTATGATATTTTACCCTAATATTGTTCATATTGATTCAATTATAATTGCCAACTTATTACAATTTTTGTAAATTTAATTGCTTGCATGTATTATTTTTTTGACAAGCAAATACAGCAAAAATTTGTTATTGTATTTCCAATAATATAACCATATTATTGAGCGGTTTTGATGAAAAAACACTAATTTTCAAAACTATAATTAAGAAATTTGTGAAATATTTGATTTTTGGTATTTTCTAAATTATGTGTTTTATTTTTTATATAAAACATTTAATAAGACAAATATTTAATAAAAATATCAAAAATCAGTTCCCATACAAACATAGATTAACTTATAATTTAATTTTGTTAATAGATAAGTGTAATTTTGTCAAAACTACTCAAATAATATTATTATTAGAAATTAAAAACAAACTTTGGCTATATTGCTTGATAAACAGAGATGCTAAATGCATATTGTTAATTTACCTAGGTAATTTTATTTAGGTACCTAACTAAGCTTTTTTACAATTGCACACACATTTAATAAATCAATTATATCTGATCATCTGAATTATTTTATTACCTAGGTACTAATACGTCATAATTGAAATACTTTAGTCAAATTATATATTATAGGTAATAATTATTTCTTAGGTACTTAATGATCAAATAATTTATATAAATATAATAATTAATACAATTCATTTTTGTACCTGTTAATAATACTGAGTCAATTTAATTTATGGACCAATGTGACCTTTCGAGTGATTGACTGATAAAAAGTTAAATATTTAACCAACATTTAAATATATATTTCACAAATATAGGTACATTTTATTTGTGAATATTATTTTATAGTACTAGTTTATGTTTTGGTTTTTTTTCAAAAGATATGTTAAAATTTAAACAAAGTATTAAACAAACTAAATAACTACATTTTACTAATTTAAATAAAATATTTGAGTACTTACTGAATATTTGTTCACCTATATACAACTGTTATATAATGCATTTATATTTAATATGGGGTTATAAGTATAACTTAAGACACATATTATATTATACTTATCTGTGGTAAGACACGGAAATTATTAACTTTTTTTTTATAACGTTTAAGAAATAAGTAGCTCTAAAAGAGTAGTTTTCAGCCTTTTTAATAATGCACATCACACTTTAACTCCTACAAAATTTTTACAGCACACCAATCTATAAATAATATATAAAAAGTATTTACCTAAACATTATATAATATAAAATATGATAACTTACAGTTTACAGTCTATTCAATACTACTAAAAAATTAATTGTAAAGTAAATTAATGCAATGATGAAAAGATGTGTTAGCAAACATATGTATTTTATCTATAATAAAATTAAAATCTTATTATGTTTGTTATTTATCAGTTGTCACTGATTGTCAATAATAGTACTTGTAAATAGACATCTATAAAACTGATTGAAATTAATATTATCAATCTATTTCATGTGGCACACTTCAAGGATGCTCACAGCACACTGGTTGAAAACCACTGCTCGAAAATGTTGTATTGTTCACTTTATTTTAGGGAGTGAAACCATTACCTACTTTTGATTTACAATTGGCAACCTATACTAAAAATGTCATAAATTGAGTATTAGTATATACTGTTCAATTGTGGTCAATCATTTTATCATGGCAAGACATGTGTTGTTTTAATAGTGTTTTACTACTTTTACCGAAAATTAAAATAGGAATATCTCGTTAACGGGTTGACGGAAATTAGAAGTTTCAAGATCAACATTTATTTAAACTAATACTATATTTATTTATGGAATTTTTAATATAGGTTGTCTTGCAAAAATCAAAAGTAGGTAGTGGTTATGCTCCTTGAAATAAAAGTGATAAAAAATAACCGTAGTGTAACATTTTTAGTGCTACTTATTTCCTAAATGATCTAAAAAGCAAGTTATGAAAAAAATGAATACCTAATTTCCAAGATAATGAGTAGGTATCTTACGTTACATTGATTATTCTGTATGAGGACTTACATAATATGCACCTAACAAAACACCATAAATAATGATTTATCATTTAACTTACTTAAACTATAAAGTTTTTTTTATCAATTATACTTTTTAGTAGCACAATTAAAATATCTATTTCTATAAATAATATTTCATATAGAAATAGTATTGTTGATTATTTATTTGATTATGTTGTACCTATATAGTATTATAGATATTATTATTTTATTGCTTAAATATCTAATCAACATTTAATGATTAGGTGATCATTAAACTTTATTTTGTTATTCAATTTGTGTTGAAAAAAAAATAAACACATGAGCTTACCTAATGGTTTAGTAATGTTAAATGATTTATTATAATTATGTTATGATGATTACACCATTAAAATAGTTGTATTTATTAATTTTAAAATTAATATGATTTTACAGATATGCATGTATACATCATGTTTAAAATGTTTGAGAAATTAATAAATAGTCAAGGTTTTGAAAATCATAATGTATTACAATTTGTTTAGTAAATTGTGAATAATATAATAAACCTTCATATGTGAATAAACAAATAGCAATCAAAGTTCTGTTACGTTACTAGTATACCTAATAATAAACATCACTTATTTTATTAATCATACTATACCTGATCTTATATAACCTTTTTACATTACCTACTTAGAAATACAAATATCAATGGTATTGTGAATAGCAACATAATTATGTTGCGTTGTAATAATAGTAAACATAAGTTGCAAAAAATGATCCCTAATTATTTCCTATATTACATTTATTCTACATTATGACATAGACAATTATTATATTTTGGGTAAAAGAATATTAACATTTAAACAAAAATTTGAACTTTGAATAATTAATCATTACAACATTAATGTATTTTTTTTTTATATAACAAAGTTAAATTTATTATGTACCTACCTTGTATCGAGTATTTTTGAGAAATAATAGAATTTAATCTACAGCTAAAATACCAAAATTACAAAAACAAAATTAGACAATTTCAAATAACTGTATAAGGTGTTGAACATAACATAAGATCATTAGTAATTATCCCAGAATGTCATAACATTTGTCGGAATTTGTTTATTAGAACATTTAAGATACCAACAACTTCAAAATGTTACATTGTCATTATGTTATTTATTACCCTTATTTTTGATGTGTAACCCATAATCACTTGATTTTAAAATAGCAACCTATACTAAAAGTGGCATAAATAAGTTTTTGTGTCAATCCCTTGATGAGATTTATAATTCCACTTTTAATTATACTATTTTGTAGAAGCAAGTGTAGTGGAGTATTATTTAAATACCGCAGATATTAAGTACCGCACTACAAAACAACCTATGTTCCACTACCCTCATTCTATCAGAATTTTAAAGTTAAATATCACATTAACAGATGGTAAATTAAAAATGCCAACACAATATGTATTTATAAATCAAAAGCAAATAGTGGTTTCAACCCTTAAAACAAGGGCGACACAAACAAATAACTGCAATGTAACATTTTAGACCTGTTTGTTTCTTAAATGTTTTAAAAATCAAATTTCAGATATAGTTCATACACACTATTCTGGTATAGTGAGTATTAGATTATGTTAATCACTCTGTATAATTAGATATACAACTCCAAAAATATTTTGAAAATGTCTAATCTGATTATTAAAAAAAAAAAAAAAAATGTATTCATATAAATATTTTATATTTATAAAATATATGTGTAGTAATAGTGTTTCTCAAAATATCTTGAAAGCAAAAATTATGATTTTTAATGGAAACACTTACACAAATTAACACGTTTTCTGATATTTTTTTGAATTATCTCATTATAAAAAAAAGGTTAAAGTAAAATTAAAATATCTCCCAATAAACCAACTAAATAAACTTTGGTACTAGAAATCATGCCGGAAGTTGATTATTAGAGCCATTGGACCATTGATTCTAGCCAAAAAGTTGTTTTTAAAAAAGAAAAAAAAATAGTGACTTTAAAAAACCTAAGTCATATAACTTAGTCTATAGTATAAGTAATAGAATTAAACAATTGTATTTAGTAAATAAAGTCAATTTTTTGTTTAGCATTTATCATTTTACACAATGTAATGTTACATAATTAAAAATATTTTAATTTGGTACTAACCATTACTGCATACTAGATGAACAAGGTATAGTTTTGCATTAAAATATATTTATATATTTAATAGTAGTTACTTAGTAAAATAGTAGTTCACATTATTAATAATGAACATGATAAATATTATATTGAAACTAAAAGCATTTATAATCATGACTTAGCATAATAATGACTTTAATTCAGTTTATAAAACTAAATAAATTAAGTACAACAAAACTTTCATAAATAATAAATTCTTGTTCACTTTATTATACACAGAAGTGTGGCCTTGGTAAATTGATGTTAACTTTACCAATGTTTTTTTACCCAGTGAATAATTGTTACCTGTTTAAAATTTGAGTGATCCCTCATTTTAATGTGTGTAACCAATTTACAATTATATTAGCTTAATTGATTATTATTTTTTTTACTGAATAATTTTCATTTTTGATGCATGAGATTTTTTGTTGGAGATGTAAAAAAATTTCAACATAAACCAGTCTAATAACACATATTTTGTCTACAGTTTTTAGAGATCTGAAAAAGCTGAAGATTTTTGAAATTCCATGTTATTTAATGAAAAAAAACAAGTGTTTGATGGCACCTCTTAATATTAAGTAGAATGCGTAAATTTGTATATGACTTTTTACCTGTTTAGAAAGAATTTACCAACCTTTATAGGCTAGTGATAGGTTTATACTGGTAATCGGCTATTTAAAAATACATTTCTAACCGGTTGACAATTCTATATATATATATAATTTGTTTATAAAATAATTTACTTTTTATGTGTTTGCCTTAATCACTATACTTAAATACTTTGGTAAAAGTTATTTTACATTTTTGATATTTTAATTAATATATCATATTATATTTGTTTGTGTTTGCATTATATTATAAATTATAATAATGTAATTGTTTTTATTTTTTATAGATAAATGAAAAAGGTAGCGGTCTTATTAGTCGTATTTGTGAACAATTGGATTTAATTGAGAAAGATTATTTTGGTTTACGTTATGTTGATAGTAAACGCCAAAGGGTATTTATATAATTTCATCACTTAACTACTTAATATGTTTAATTATTAACTTAAACTTAAGGTGTTATACCACTTCATTTATATTGTATAGAATGAGAGCAATTTGTCAGTACTAATATAAATTTAATTTAATGTAATTGACACCAATAGGTTAACTGGTTTTAATAATTTATTGATCAAATTAAGTAATATTAAGTGTACTTAAAATAAATAATAATAATTTTTACTGATTTTTACAGCATTGGCTTGAACCTTCAAAATCAATTTTTAAACAAATCAGAGGTATACAATTAATTTATAATTTATTTTTATAATGTATTTTATTATTAATTATATATTTTACTGTAGATATGGAAACGGATAATATTTTATTTAGCTTTCGTGTAAAATTTTATCCACCAAATCCGTTTCGGCTAAAAGAAGATATAACTCGATACCAAATTTATCTTCAATTAAAAAGGGATTTATTACATGGACGTCTATACTGTAATACATCTGAAGCTGCTCTATTAGGAGCTTACATATTACAAGGTAATACTTAACTAAATCAATAATTAATAATATCTATTTAACATGTATTATATTTTTTAGCCGAGCTTGGCGATTTTAATCCAGAAGAGCATATTGATAATTATGTAAATGAATTAAAAATTTTGTTAACACAAACATTGCAATTGGAAGAAAAAATGATGGATATTCATAAAAATGAACTGAAGGGAAAAACTGCAGCAGAGATGGAAACCATGTTTTTGAAAAAAGCATGTGTTTTAGATACATATGGAGTAGACCCTCATTCTGTTAAAGTAAATATAATGTAGATTTAGAAAAATCATATTATTAAAACCTAATAAATGGAACATATTTTTAGGATCAGAGAGGTAATCAACTTTATTTAGGTATTAATCATACTGGAATAGTTACGTTCCAAGGCAGTAAAAAAATGAATCACTTTAGTTGGTCACAAGTTCAAAAGATTAATTACGAGGGTAAAATGTTCATTATACATGTCATTCTTAACGAGGTATTATTCTATATTATACAATATATTCTAGTAAATCCAATGTTTTTTTTTAAATTTTATATGTATAATATATATTGTATTGATGGTTGATAACTGATATGGTGTGGCTATTCACGAGATTAATTATTATATCGTGTTCAGCCGTGCCAAGTGTTGCTATTACCAAAATAAGTAACCAGCAACTAGTATTATAACAATTTTTCACCCCTTAAGTAAGTAGTGTTGTATCATTCTTCATAGCTGCTGAGCTGTAATCATTAAAATAATTGAAAAAGCTCTCAAAAATATACATATATTTATACATGTATATTAGTTATTGTATTTAAATTTGTTTATGTATTTCCATGCTTCTTAGGATCAGAGAATAAAGGTAGTTTTGTATATAAATTTTGATTAGAATAGTTTAATACTGTAGGCTATAATATAATACTGCCCTGTTAAGAAAGAATGTCATAATTTAAAAAAATATATCATACCATCTTATGTATAAAATCGCAAACATTGTTTTTCATATTGCGGTATTCTTTCTTAACAGAGCAGAATATATATACTCATATAAGATGTATAAATTATAATATACATACATTCTTGTTACTAATAGTTATACATGAGTAGAATTTGTTGCAAATTTTAGATTTTTTAAATTTGTAATAACATTACATTTCATTTACTCTCTAGGGTCTTAAATTTCTCATAGATATTATTCAAAGTATTTATTTTAAATAGACATTTTAAATTTTGATTCACTTATTGGATGTATTATGATTGTAATATTAAATTAATTTTCTATAACATACTATTATCATTCATTAATTAGTATTATATTCAAACAATTTTTTTATAGCTTTTAATCTACTTGGTGTTCGCCAATAATAAAGTAATTCTTTTAGACTTAAGATTTTATATAAATTTAGTTGACTTCCTTCAAAGTAATCCCATTAATGATCAAGAATATTTGTTTTTATTAACATCTTTAAATTATACATCATATTATAAGTAGATACAAATTGGTTTAGTTTTAAATTTTAAGGTTAAAATTATTTACAATTTTTTAACAAAAGTAAAGTTAAATTCGTTTTTCATTTATAATATTGAAGAAAGTGTTTGTTTATCTTGGTAAAATAAATTTAAATAGACACACCTGTAAATATAAATATATAAATCTGTAAAAAATTGTTTCTTTTTTAGTAAACAATTTTTATATTACACAGACTATGTGCATAATAACCAGTAAACAATAATGTTACTGATGTAAATGCACTTTTATTTGAACATTATTACATTTAGATCTATGAGTAAATTTATTTTAAAATTATGTATAATTTATATTTTTAGAAAAAGCAAACTATTGGGTTCAAATGTCCTAGAGGTGCTTCTTGCCGCCATGTATGGAAATGTGCTGTTGAACAAATGCTATTTTTCACGCAAGTTTTTTTTTTTTTTTTGTTACTTTTGAAGTATTAATCTACTTGGTTTATCCCAAAATTAGGGTTTAAACAAATCTTCTAACCATAATATATTTAAATTATAGATTTTCTTCAAGTTCTGATGTTCCTCATGTAGTTTCTGGCGGAGGATTTTTTTCATGGGGCACCAAGTTTAGATATAGCGGACGTGTTGAACGTGAAATATTAGAAGATATGTCCATTACCAGAGAATCTCCATCTGTAACACGTGTTGGTAGTCTAAGACGGAAATCATCAAGTGAACCACCTACTCCATCTAATATGGTTATTAATCAAGTTGGTATGTAAAAATACATTTTGTCCATTGATGTGGTTACACTATAAGATTAAACATAAAAGAAATTACACAAATTAAAAAACCAAAATAATTTTGAAAAAATTGTAAAATTTCAGTTTTCTAATAAATTTGAAAAAGTTACTACGAGGTGAGCATTTTTGAAAACTCAGATTCAGTAATAAAAATAAATTTTGAAAAAAAAACCGGCTTATGTCATAAACTAGACTTGTTCTTCTCTTGTTTATTATTGAAATAACTAATTATCATATTTTGTTGAAACTGTTTATTAAGTATGATTTTTTAATCACATTGTTGAGAAGTTTGATTTGGAACTTTACAAAATTATGTGTTAAAAATGTCAGATAATAACCTTAATTACATTTTAAAATATCTTTCCAACTGAATTTTTCTTTCTAAAATTATGTAGATAAAAAAAACAATTTTTGTAATCATTGTATTACTAAGCTATTACTGATTTTTAACAAATTATTATTTGTATGCAATTATTTTACAGCAGGATTTAATAGTCTTCCTCGGTCATTAACAAATACCAGTGAAGAATATAGTACATCAATAGATTCATCCACGCAAATTGATAACTCTTCAGTTTTAGAGACATTATTGGAGGACCAAGAAATAATAACACCAAAAAGTAAGATATAGTTTTAATTTTTGTTTTCTATATAATATTTACATTATTAGATAAGGATAAATAACAATAATAATAATAAAAAAAAAAAATCAGTTATGTTTATAATTTTAGAATTAAAAATTATTATGAATTATAATTTCTTAGTTGAACAAGAGGTCAATCATGAAGAAATCTTGAATAATGATCATTTACTGATTGGTAAGTGTCGGGTATTGGGTCGTATTATCCTCTTGGTTTAATTTCACCATCATATTTTTACTCATTATAACTATTAACTATATGCACATGGATATGTTTGGTAATCATTTTTTTACTAAAACGAATAAATAACTCACCACATTATATTTGTATCATGTAATATAATAAATATTATAAAATAAATATTAATACTTCCCTGGTTTTATTATTAATCTATAACATTTAAAATTTCCAATGTCCTATGTTTTTAATCTTAACTAATACTAGAATTAATTATGGCTTTCAACCAAATTTAAGTAACATTAATTATGAATATTATCAATCATGGTATAATTAATACAATTAAAGTTGTGGTGAACATCATCATTTGGTTCTTAACACAAAAATTTAGATTTTCCGAGGTACTTGTTGCATAATATTGAATAGCTTGTTTTCAATAAACTTCACTTCTAGTAAATTGAATATACCTGATACAGTCAAAGTAGTACTAATTTTACTTAATAAAGGACATTTACATTCTAAAATGACGATAGAATAGAGTAAAAATAATAATGTAAATAATATTTATTAATTATTATAGTTTATTTCTTTAGAATAACATACATTTATTTACTATAATGAGTCAAGTTAATTTGTATAATCAATATAATTATTTTTTATTCTTTGCTAAAAGTATTATGCCACTATTGAAAAAAATATGTATATTTTTACTATCAATGTCAGTATTTGCACACATTGTTTTTATTAAATGTATATATATATATTATTATTATTACCATTAAAATATAATAATTTTTAAATAAATTTGTGGATTGTATTGTCAGATAGTTGTTATATAAACATTCAAGGAGTAGTCTTCTTATTGCTTACTCTCTTAGATAACAAATACAATTTGTTTTGTTTATTTAAAACGCTGGGAAAAATTTAGCTATTAATTATATTATTCACTATAAATAATGTAAACATTATGTTGTTTATGCTTTTATTTAAATGATAATGCCACTATATTACTTACTTAAAAATAAATAAGTAAAACAAATTACATAAATTTGATTGAATTATTTTAAATTTATAAATCGTAATTATAATCACATTTAAAAAAGATTATGAATTGTGTAAAGAATTAAAGTGTGTATGCTTACCAATTGTGTATCTAAGAGGGAAAAATAGGAAATTTGATAACGCCCAAGAAGTCTCTTGTTTTCATAATAATAAATAGTTAATATATTATACATAACATTCCTGAACATATTTACCACTGATGCTTACTTACATTTCTTTTTACTATTTTTGTCATTGTTCTGTTATTTTCAAGAAATTTCAATAGGAAATTTATTTTGAATGTGTTCTTTAAAATAATCTGAATTTATCACAAATTATTAATGATGCTACAAGAAACTATGTTAACGACTTAATGTCACAAAGAAGACTTCAATGCAAAAACTAATTAAATCTTCACACTGCTTTAAATTTAAACAAAATAATTTTATTAATTGTAATTATGAATTTCGAGGGTCTGCGCTAAAAATTGAAAACCAAATAATTGTAATCATTACAAAATGATAAGAAGTAAAATTACCATTTGATTGGTGATCTATATAAAATACAATTTATTTTCATTATTTTGAAGAAGTTGTTTTATAAATGTATTTAAATATCAAAAATCCAGTTACCATTTTTTTCAGAAGTTCAAATATTGTTGAAATTATAGAAATTGCGTCATTTTACATACTATTTTTCAATTTATATGGCGTAAATTTTTTTGGTTCCATAAAATTTGATCTGGAAAAATACAGGCAATTTTTATTTGTTTAGTAGTTCAATTATAATATAAATTAATACAATTTTGAATTTAAGTTTATTTAAATATTTTAATATTTCAAGTGAATTTCACTCTGAATTGTTTTTTGTTACTAATGATTTATTGTTGCTTACATATATTAATTAAATACTCTATATAATATCCTATTTTTAGCAACAAACAAAATCTAAATATAAGTTATAAAGCAATTTAACCCTTCTAGTTGCTTTTGTTCATAGAAATTAGTACATATAAAGTTATACATTTGTGTTTATAATATTAACCAGAGAAGTAGAAGTTTCTATTCAAACAAAATGTGCAAAAATAAATTTATGGATTTCCCCCCCAAAAAAAATTACCATTTGTGTCTTTTAATTTGTCCAGTAGAAAAAAGTGAATCCAATTAATTAAATGTATTAGTATTTTTTTTATTGTTGAACACATTTTTAGTGTGAAAAAAATATTTTAGACTAAATTGAACTATTTTATATATATATTTATTCAATTTTGAATGTAATTCTATGGTTGAATGTTATTCAAGAGTCCTTAAAATTCTTGATGCTATTGTTTTTTTTTTAAATAGTATATAATTTTGTCTAGTTTTAATTGTATAATATGAATAGAACAAGAAATAAATATGATGAATCATAATTACCTTGATGCAAAATGGTTTAAGATGAGATCCGTTTAATTTATAATTGAATGTAGATTTCTCTTAATCCAGCTATGTGTGATTTTTAACACTTTGATCGCTGATTTATTAAGATTTTTAATTTAACTTACCTATCATCATCGTCATTATCACAAACAGCTTAAGGGGTCATTGAGGTCCAATGCTACCATCACACATTTATTCTACTCTTCTCTATTGTATGTCCATGGCTATCTGAACCCCTTGAAGTATTTTTAGATCCTTCATGACAGAGTTCCTCCATATTGTTCTGGGTCTGCCTAGAAGTCTTTTTCCTCTCATTTCTGCCACCAGTGCTTGTTTAGTAATTTGGCCATCAGCCACTTTCCCAACGCCAACAATAATTTATACTTTTTTTCAGTTTTAATTGTATAATATTAATATAACTAGAAATAAATATGATGAATCAAATTACCTTGATGCAAAATGGTTTAAGATGAGATCCGTTTGATTTATAACTGAATGTAGATTTCTCTTAATCCAGCTATTTGTGATTTTTAACACTTTGATCGCTGATTTTTAATTTTAACTTGTCTTTAAAAAATTACATTAACATATTATATAGTATTCAAACTATTCATATAATACACAAAAGTATATTGTATAGGTATTTAATAATTAATTATTCTTAGTAGTTGGTTAGTAAGTAATATTGGTTAATTTATTCAGTATGTAATGTGTATATAATATCAATATATCATTATTATTTATTTATAAGTATTAATGCAATGCTTATTAAAATAAAAAATAGTAATATAAAAAAAATGATGTAGTTATTGTATAAAGTTTGATTAATTATATAAATTACATTTGAACCCGTTTAGAATGCTCTCACAGGGACCACTTACAAATAACGTATTAATTGGGAAATTGTATCATGCGGAATACCAATAATTAAAAAAATTATATATATTATTTTATATTATTTATATTTATATGTATTTAACATTACCTACTTTAAAAAATTATAGATTTTTATTTGTTTCATATATTTGATGTTTTTAGAATAGAGGAAGTTATTTAAATGGTGTAATGTTTGGTCAATGTTTTGTCAAAAAATCATGTAGTCATAAACTAGGGCCATGCCCAATGTTTGTGATGTATCATATCTTGTTGTGAATATTATCATCTAAAAATGAGCGATATATGATTATAGTCTTTGTTTATAGTTATTTTTAGTCATTAGTAGAGATATTTCTATGCATTCTATATTAACATCATTGACAATGAAAGCGTTTTATATGAGAACAAAGTGTGTTATTCAGAGTTAATTATATATTGAATGTTGTCAAAATCAATAGACTCGAAAATATGAGTACTTAAGATGATAAATCTTCTTAAACGGGTTCTACTATATTATTTAATCATCAATCAATAGTTCACATATCTCAAAAAATTCTATATTTTAATAAGTAGTGTTCATTTGAATGTTCTGGATGAGACCAAAATCAAACTTTATACAAACCCAAAGTATAGTTTTTTTTTATAAGTATTATAGTATTCAAAAGAGTTCAAATTCAGAGTTTTGTTTTTAAATGATATATAAATAAGTTATATGCAATTACAATATACATATTATGTTTAAAAATTATATAATATTATTGCTATTAATAGGAATTCCAAGATGAGTATATAATAATGTAACACATATTGAAATCTATAATATTACTAGAACTCAATAATACAAGTCTAGCCCATGTTTCAGTTTATTAATTAATGCTATATTTAAAATAAAAATATTGAACCATTTATCCAATAATATATTATAGATATACAATAATAACCTTTGTGCAGATACCTAACTATATTCATATTGTTTTTAATACCAATATCATTTATTTTTAAATGAATTACCTACATTTTGGTTTGTTTAATTTTCAAATTTCAATCATTGTTCTTACTATTGGTATTTTATTAAATTAAATATCACTCATATTAAGCTTTTTAACCAAGGATTTTGACCAAATTTCAAAACTGGACAAATATTAAAAAGCTAGAATTAATTATAAAATCTGTGAAAAAGGTTGCTCAAGGCATTGATTTATAAATTATGAGCAACAAAAAAAATTCCCTAAAATCATTGAAATGGTCAGTATCTAAAAGGTTTGGAAACAAATAAATGGTGACTTATACTTTAAAAAAAAAAAAAATAATAAAGTAAGTGTTTTGATAGTATTTCTGCAGACAAATGTTTAATTTTAATGTATCTTAAATTAACACATCTACAATGCTTAGTACAATTTGTTTTACTTTTTATTTGGTTAATACATATAATTCAAAAACAATTTATTGAAATTTATTTTATTTTATATTGAATTAAAATACATTCAATATATTGGTGTTATATGTACACAAATAAAAAAGCTTATTATTATTATTACAGCTTCAGCTACTGTAATATATTCCCTAATACTTATAATAACTAGTGCTAACTATAAATATAATTTTTTTTTAGACTTCACGGTAACTGACGGGGCACCATTAATCCAATCTATTCCTAATCAGCTATCTGGTCAAAAACATTTAGAAACTACAGCAATTCGGAACAGTGGATCGAGTTTATCATTTATGCGACAGAAGTTATTGCCAATTGTATTTGGATTGTTTTTGGTGTTTATGATTATAGTTATTGTTTTAGAATCTGATTTACCCATTATGGTTACCATCAGAAAAGCACCAGAAATTGCTGCTTTTAAGCAGAATTACTATGAACCGAGTAAAGACTTTTTAATGCGACGTTTTATTGGGTCAAAAATTTTTTAACAACATAATAAAAATTTTTAAAACTTTTTTTATAATCACTTAACACTTGTGGGTAGAAAAATTAGATTTACATTTGTATTTATATAAATTTAAGGTGGTGGAATTTATTAGTTATTTGAAATTTTAACTATGTGTGTGCTCAACGTTTTAATGACATAATCTACAAGATTTCGATCAAATTTTAGCATTTACATTTTTATATAATATAATTCACCTAGATTTTTGCATTCGTCTAATCAAATTTATTATCTTAAAAGAATGTGTGTTTTTATGGTAATCTTTAAGCTTTCACAATTAAAATAATGCCTTTTGTGTTTTGATTATCAGTTAATTGGTGTTGTTTACGTGTTGTATCAAGTCTTAAGAATTTTTTATATGGTGCCTCACAAATTCATATGAACCAATTCATTTTTGAGTGCACTACTTTTGGATTTTGGTACTATTTATATGAAATATTGGTGCTTCAATTTATAGTCAAGTTTAAAATATAGTATATTTCCAAAATACTTCAGATTTTTTCATAACTGAATAAGTACATTTTTTCAATAATTTTGTTGATCAAAGTTTGAAAAACATATTCAATCAAATGTATACATTTTAATATATACTATACTATAAATTATATTTTGGTGTTTTTAAAAAAAAAAATTATTTATTTTGTTTGGTTTATTTTAATTTTAATTTTTTGGATAAAATGAATATTAACTTATTTCTTATTCATTACCTTTTGTTTATCGTGTGAAATCCTATCTATTGTCACTTTTTAACGTGATTCTTATTTTAAGTCGTATATTATTTATTTACAATGTATACTATAATTAATGAAATTTCAATACCTATGTCGAGAGGTTTTTTAGTTAGTTTTAAAAAATTATATCTTTGTAGTATGATATTTGGTATAAAATACTAGTCATTTATAGATAAGATGATATTATGTAATTATATTTCCAATTAGACAAATTGACACTTAACTTTAATTTTACATTTAACCAAAAATCAATAATACAATACAGTACCTATAATAAATAATATCTATTGCTCTTTATAGATATTTCCCAATCTGTTCCCAAAATGTTTTCTTTAAATTAATGGCAGAAAATAATTTTTATTTTAAAATAATAGTTACCTATATTATAATCTCGAATCTTGAATATTCCTATCATCTCATCAGTTATTAAATTCCATTAATACTAATATACATTGATAATAAATTAACAATATTTTTATTCATTAATTTTATTTATACTTTATGTTACATTCTATTTTTGTTGAACTTTGATTCAAATTAGTTATTAATTATTGAAGATTAAATTCAGGTGTTGGGTTAAAATTATAAAAGTTAAATAAATTTTTTTTTTTTTACTCATACAATTTTAGGTTTTTGGTAAGGAGAAACATAATTTTTAATTTTTTAATACTATTGTATTTTTTCCATCCAAAACCTACATATCACCATTATTTATTCCGGCCGATTTGATATACTATTCATTATTATAGTTACCAAACATTCCAATTTTACTATTAACAGATCTCTAAAAAAAAAAATTTTACAAAACAAAGACCAAAATGGTTTACCTCAATAATTTGTTTTTAAAAATTTATTATTCATGTATTCACTAATCATTACAAACAATTTATAACTAATGCATAATAATATATAAATATGTATATATATATATATTATTATTATAACTATTATAACTATTACTATTATTACTATTATTATTATTATTATTATTATTTTATTATTATTATTGATATAAACCACTATTTTTCTACATTTTTGTACTTAAAATTCTTTTGGTGGCTTTGTTATTTATCATGATTTTATTTTTATTTTATATTTGTTATTAAAAACGTGCAATTTTTATATAAATGTATTTTATAATTTTATTTAAATTATTATTCTTTTTATATGAATTAGATTTGGATACCACAGTAGTTTGGCTTGTACTTAATATTTATACTAAAATATAGATTATATTCCTTGAATTTAATAGAATTTTAACAATAAATACTGTGTTTCTAGACATTTTAAAACATTGAAATGATAATACAAGTACTATAAAAAATAGTTTATTATTAATAAATAAATAAAATTAGATTAACCATTAAATGTTGTTTGTGATCTCTGCTGCATAGCAATCGCAAACTTTCTTGACAAGTATATTGAGGGTTTGCGAGAGTTGGAGAAATAAAAACAGCAATGTTTCTATCATTTGAAAAATTTAATTTAATAAAATATGGCTATTTATTTTGTAATCTTAATGTAATCAAATAATTAGCTTTTCATTTATATACCTACCTAATTAAAAGCTCCTGTGCACTTATGTATCTAAATTAATATTTATTTATAAGTTCTAATATATAATTATATTCTAATTTAATATAAGTACACATTTTATATTCTGTTTGTTTTAACAATTTAATTCCTATTTATTAGCTTAATTTTCATATTTGTTTTTTAATCAGTAATGTATATACATTATTATGAGTATAGGTATGAATGTAGGTATACTTATATATTATACTAATGATTAATGAATCTGATTTAATTATTCAATTATTTAATAATTCAATTCAATTTCATAACATAATGTCAATTTTGAAATTTTTGTTTCAAAAATAAAAAAAAGTTAAAAAATTTTTAATATACTTAAATTTTATTTAAAATAATATACTTCTAAGATAAAAATATGATTTTATTTTTGTACAGCTGATTTTTCAAAATTATTAAGATGAAACATGTTATAACCTTTATTCTAAATGAATACTACATTTTATAAAAAATATTGTTATTATCATATTCTTATGTACCTAATATAATATTTATTTCTTATAATATTAGAAAATTAAAGTAAATGTTAATTAGATATTGCATGTGATTCACACAAAAAGTAAGCATACTAATGCAGATACTTAATTAGAGCGGAAGTGTAGAATGAATATATTATTAGTTATGTGTACAAAATTCTTTGTATTTTTTCATTAAACAATCCACTGATAAGCCCTCTGCTCTCGCTAGCCCTCTTTTTGAAAACTGTGTTATTCTAGTCTTGAATACTTTAAAGCTTATAATGTTAGTTTAATAAGATTTAATCACACTATTGTATTTTAATTTTCCAGACACTGAAATTTGATGTTATGTAATAAAAATCAATACTGTTTACTATATTCTGTATGATTATAATAATATCTTACTTAATTTTGTTCTTAATTATTTGTATTTTTGTTTCACATTTGAATACAAATCAATAATATTGTTTTAATTTAATATTTTGAGAGTGTTGGTGAATTCAATTTTAAACCCAATATTTAGTTAGCTAGTATGGCTTAGATGAATGAACAATATGTACCTAAGTATCTAGTTATCTAGTATATACTTTATTAATTATATTTTCATCTATAAAACAAGGCAAGCCATTTAAAAACGTGTATAGAGACCGTATCCGCTAAGAGATAAACAAATGTTCACAAAGTACCTAGAGCTACTGATGGTTACTTTATTTTACCAAATTTTAAACAAAAAACGTTTTTTTTATTTAAGTTTTTTAAAAATGATTTTGTCATGATTATTTTCTCCGAACACTGATCTGTTATGTGAATACTACTTAAAATGGACAATTTTGGTAAAATACATATTTAGGTAATAGAAACAAATAAATTAACTTTTACATTACTATAGTTTATATTATACATAGTTTATTTATTTTTTATAGATTGCCTTTCCCTTCACTCTTAATACCTAAATTAATCTTCCTATTATCCAGTTAGAATGAATTGATTTTTATTCTGACATTGAAGTATAGATTTAAAAATACTTAATGAAAACCTAATGAACATAATAATTACTTGAACAATTTAAAAATATTGAATTATAAATTCGGAGAGAAGAGGAAGGTGACATTAAAAAAATATTCAAGGAACCATTGCAAATTATACATATGCAGTAAGTATTAAGTCAAAAATTAAAATCTGTTAAACATTTGGAAACAAACTTATTAGATACTAAGAAAATGCAAAAAAAAAATTTTAAATATATACCTATTTAGAATTATTTATTTTTTATTTAATATTGTCATTTTTTATCACCAAAGTGTATTATTTCCATGCACTATCTAACAATATCTATGTATGCTAAAGCGTAGGTACCTTAAGTAAACATTGCATTTAGATCATTTTCAATCAAATTAATTTCCTCTGTGCAAATTATAGAAATGCAAACAAATTTAATTTCAATTGAAAAGTCATGCAATTTTTAATAACTATAGACTAGGTAGGTAGGAGGTAGGAGGTAGGTAACAAATTATTGAATTACAGGAATTACTTGGACAACTCTAAACGTTTTGGTAAATATAATCATTGCCCAGTGCACACAGGATTATATTACTTTGGTGCTTTAAAAAACACATTATGTCGTGTTGGACAGCATTCCCAACTCATATTATCAACATTTTGCTTACTTACCTACTCAACTTTTTCCGAGTAATGTGAAGGGAAATCTATAATATATTGGTTTTATAACAGCGTGCGTTATTCTTCAGTTAAAACTTTGGGGTCCGAAAAAAAGTTTCATCCGGTAACTTTATGTGTACCTATACATAGGTTATTAAATACACGTGGTACGTTATACACTTTTGAAGGGTCATTTTTCAAATTCCATTATTCGACGCCTACGTCTAGACAATTTATTTTAAATAAATAGACACCCAAAATGACCGTAAGGTACAATGCATAATAAACAGTTTCAAAAAATCGATATATTAAAGGAATAAATCATAAAGAAAATTTTAATGTCTCGGACATACTTTATTAAATATGTACTTAGGTATGTATATTACGTTGGTAGGTGCCTGCAATTAATAACGACACGACATAATTTGTATGCAATACAGATAACACTATCCAGTTACAAATCTCACAATTTTAAATACTTAAAGTTTAAAATTATCAACAATTTAACGTAAATTACTATTATAAAAACAATTTAATGTGATTTTAGATTCTGAGTGGAGCAAAGAAGCCTATGGTCTTACAAAGATGTTTATTTATTATTTTTTTTTTATCTTAACAACTTTTCTACCAAAAGATGTGCTCAGATTTCTACGTGTAACGCCTTTTCTGAAAGGAAATCGATAAAGGGAGGTACTTCAATGAGGTCATTTTTGTATTTTCTCAAGAGTTCACATCAAATGCGAAAAATCGAAAAAAAAAACGGGAAAATTTACGAAATATAATAAATATAAATTTTTCCTGTGGACAACTTTTCTATCAGCAATTTTGTTCCAACTTTTAATGATAGCTATTTTTCTTAAGGAAAATTTCACTGGGGAGGTACTTTAGAGGGGTCATTTTTCAATTTTCTCAGGAATTTTCCCAGTAAATGTGAGAAACCGGTATAAAACATGGGAAAACCAGGAAAAACGTTGGGAAACTGGGAAAATCAGTACAACATTAAATAAATATTATTAAAGAAAACTTTTAAGGCCCATTTAATTATTTTACTATAAAATGACATATACATTGACATATACCGCTCAGAATCTTTTTTTCGTAAGCAATGGATTATCGTTGCTTACATGTTGCATACATTAAATTATCTATAACAATTGCTACACCCGTCTCCATTATCCTAGGACGTCTTTTTTTCTTTTTAAATGTACGTATAAAGAGTACCGGAAATGTTAAAATTGGATGGAGAAAAGTTAGGCATTTTGGGAGAATACAAATTTCATAGGTACCGATGGTGATTGAAAGAGATAAATGTATCAATTAAAAATAGATTTTCAATTTATTATTACCTTTCCCAACTCCTCCGGTCCAAACTTTTAACAGCATCAACCTCAAAGTCCGATATCAGTGTTGTACATATACAATTTTCTTGAGAAATATTTGAATTTGTGTTTATAAAAGGGATTTTCTGTCTGAAAATGTTTATGTCAATGTAGTAGAGGTGAAAATTAAAAATTGTTTTAAAATAAAACTTAAGCGATTCTACTATGATTAAAAAAAAAAACAAAACAAGAAACAAATCCACTTAAGTTCTTTCGAGAATTGCCGGTTCATGATAAAAAAGGGCGAACATACTTCTCACGACGGGTGGGCCTAGAGCCGTGTCGAGTAATTCAGCGCCCCGGGGCAAAATTTTTCCGTGCCTCTTCCCTACTATTTAACTACTAAATGTTTTCTTATTATATAGATCTCTATGGGACAATATATTACCACACACCACGAAAACTAACCAAAATAAAATGTGCAATATTTATTATACATAATTGTTAATTTATGTTAATTAAAAATATTGATAACAAAATAATCATCAACATAATAAATTAATGTATAAAAATACCAAACGATATTTTATAATATTTTTCTTGCTTTATCCTGGGTATATTCACTTCCATTAAAATCTTGGAACACAAATTTTCAGTTCTTGAACACATCCAGATGGAGTGTGACACCGATCATGCTCAAATTGAAAAAAAAGCACATTGATTCTCCTATCTATTATCCCCATGACTGGGCTCAACTTATAAGGATGACTGGGAACAAAACGCTATGTAATAGAAATAAAAAGAGAAGATTTCAAAGACTGGAAATATTTACAAATCGAACACATTTGTGAAAATGTCGAAAATTACGAAAAAACAAAATGGAAATTGAGATAAAATTGTGCGGGATCAATTTAATGGTTTAAATTTGAGAAAAAGTATAATTTTAAGTTCTAAAGTTAATCCTTATTATATATATGGTATATTTAGATGGGCTCGGATACTATACAGCTATAACAAAATGGTGATTGTTGGTTCGTAACGAAAATAATATTAGCCGGTTTTTTTTTTTTTTTTTTTGGTTCTTGGCTACGTCGCACCACTGCCGTTCGATCTGTAATCGTCATTCATAGTGGTGTGCCCGGTAATTTTCAATAAGACAGAACGTGGCAAAACGAAATTGTAAAATCGCTTTCTGTATGCGTCGCTTGACTATGGGAATTGGTAATTTAAAAGCTGGATCCAAACAAACAATTTCTAATCAATACGTCAAGCTTTTTATCGTATCTTGCATGAAATATATGCATTTCGATAATAAATTATTTACATTTTTTTTCGAACTGATTATTTGTAATTTATAGTGACAAGAACGAAGGGGAATTATCGATTCCGCCGAGACTACCTGTTTTTAAAAAATGTTTGTATCGATTCCGCCGGCTACTGTTCATAATATCTTCATATCGACTGTGCCGGCCACTATTGAAAATTGTAGAAATTAGCCGTAATTCAAAACAATGTTATTATTCTTAATTGACTAATAGAATTGTGTCTAGTTTATAGATCTGCAGTCTATAAACTAAATTATCCTGTATATCCTATAAGTACAGCAGTGACCTACCTGTGACAGCATCAATTGTTTGAAATGTATAGCCCCCTAGAAAATAAATCTTAGTTGCGCCATTGACACGTTTATAAACAATAATGTAACGACAAAAGTGTTTGTATTTAAACCTATGTAAGTATGAGTATGATGATTTCTCGGTAGGCAAATTTCAAGATGGAAAACGTTCATTAATCGAAATCGATCGTCCGTTTCGCCAGAAATAAAGCCCCAACACCTTTTGTCAAATTCCCGTCACCTATTATTGAATGCAGAATATTATAAAACTGTAAGTAGGTTGGTAGGTGCATAATAATAAACATTGCACACATAAAACGTGTCCTAACTTCAATAGGCATCATGGACGTAAATAGGGGGAGCTCAACTCTTCGTAAGCCATCTTAAGCCCTACCTATACGATATTTTAATATAGGTATAGACAGTCTTTATTATAATAAATTATATAATTTATAATCAGTATTTATAATGTTTATAACTAATGGTAATAGCTATAAATATAATAATGTGCAAGCATAGGTTTTCATTAGATTTTCGTTTTAACGTTCCAATGTTCCATAAACTATGGTCAGTGGATGGCCTATTAAAACGGCCGGTGGCTATACGCATCGTCGTGCAGCCATGCGAGTCGCCGGCACTGCCGGATACAATTACGCCGCGTTATCCAAACATTTATGTATCTCCAGGTAATAATTTTTCGACCCATAAATAGATTTTCCTTCATTATTATAAATAATGAAGTAAAATCTAGACCAGTGGTCCTTTTTGGCTTAAGTCCTAAGCATTCGATGACCCTAGTTGTTTACGTCCATGACAGATAGGCAGGAACACGAATAGTTCAATAGGTACCTAGGTACCTATTGACGGTATTAGGTAGGTAATGGCTACCTAATGGCTAATATGTTTCACCGTTTCGGAACGTCTCGTCTGATCGTTTACGTGAGCGGCGTTTATAGGTGTCTGCGTGTCTGTAATCTGTACAACAAAAGGAATTATAATAATAATATATATATATATATATATATAATATTTCGTTTGGTTGATTGTATAATATTTTAATGTGAACTTCGGACGACAATGGACGTGAATCGGATCGGGATTATATTGGACGCACTAGTCCATAAACTTATTCGGCATTACAGCGGACGCTGTTTATAAGACTCTCTTATTGGACTAAAAATCACTTGGAATGGTCCGGACATACCCAAATACATTCTATCTTTTCTCCACTTCGCCAATAAGGTTCATTCGGTTATAGGACTCACTTTGACTTCGTGCTGGTCCACAAAGTGAGTCTTATAAGCGGCGTTCACTGTATTATGCGTTTCATGTTATAATATGTACAGCGTAGGAAAAAAAAAGGTCATATACCTAGTAAGTACTTACTATTGACAATTGAAAATCGGTTCGCTATT